TTAGAAACATTACAGTGATCTGAGATTCTGAGTTTATTAATACTTCTCATACTTGCAGAGTAGCAGTACTGCAGTGTGATCTCTTCTTATAAGCAAGTATTTTCATCAGAGAAGTAACAGATTCAGATGTCAGCTTTAAGACTCTTAAGAAGGCTGTTACTAACTCTGTCTATAACTTCTCAAATTTCTATTTTAATTTATCTGAACAGTTTGCACAGAGATGTTCTGATTTAGAATAGATAAAGCAGAGTCTCTTTTTCTTAGTCTCTTTATTATACACTCTGTTCATAGAAGCTTGTAAAGCTCTCTCTCTCTACTCAGTAGTCAGATATGAATCTCTCTATATCTTATCATCTTTTTCTAATAAATCTGTTCTCTGTTATTCTAGCTCTTGCAGAGCTGATTAGTAATCTACTCTCTATAAATCTGTAGCTCTTACAGTGATCTGCAAGCAGTGAATAAGAGTTATCAGTTTCTTCAGAGTCAAGAGCTTAGAGTCTTACTCAATAAGCTTGTTCTACATATCTTTATTCAGCTTCTTTATAAACATCATTATTCAGGTCTTGTTTCAGAGCCCTGTTTCTACAGATCTCAATTTACATTATAATTTTATGAAGCACTGTAAGTAGTCTTTATCAGATTTCTCATCTCTTTTTCTAATATTGATAATTACAGCTCAGATGTTCTCTGTCTAACTTATAAAGTTCTTCAACTTATTCTCTAAATAGATCTTAAGAACAGATCAGTGAAATCTCTTATAATCATTCTCTAAATAATTCAGTCAGTTCTTGACTTCAGTGTAATAGAGATCTGTTATTGTATAGATGACAGCTTCTTCATCTTTCATATTATATAGCTGAGCTTGTAAGTCAATTTTAAATACAAACTTATAAAAGCTTTTATAGATTGTGATTTAATAAGTAATCTTAAGTGATTATAACTTAAGAAAGTTTCTTTTCAGTTCACAGATATCTCTGAAGATTATGTTTAGAAACTTAGTTTAAGAGTGTTTGTGAGCAGTAAGTATTTCTTATAGAAAAATAGCTTGATTCTGTAAGAGATACTCAAGAATGTTCTTCACTAAGATTGATTTATTCATGAGTTCAGAGAGTTTCTCTGTCACAGATATAGAGAATAATGTTCTGTAAGTAATTGATAAGTTCTCTGAAACTTCTTTTACAGAGATTATTCATAATTTAGATGACTACTTCTGAGTGTCTGCAGTAGAGTTTACAGAGATTGAAGTATGTGAGTTTCTAGTTCTTTCAGTTATAATAAGTGATTGCTGACTGACTGAGCTTGAAATGTAAGAATAAGTGCTCACAGATGATTATTCAGATGTTTGCAGCTTGATATGATATATACTGTTAACTACTAGAAGTATTCACAGTAGAAAGATAAAATGTAGAGATTAAATATATATTAGCATTCAAGCTGAGTTATAAATAGTATTTGTGAACTCCAGTCTATATAGTTGTGTGTAGCCAAGGGCCGCTAGCCCTATTGATTACATGAGAGATAGGAATAGAGGTAAAGAATCCGCGAGGAGCGGGATTTCTTACAGCTGCTTAATCTTATGTCAATCTCAATAATATTGTATAAGAACTCTGAAAATACAAAGTTAATTATATTATATAAGACCTGACTTGAAGCTCTATCTTCTATACATAATATTCACTGATAGAGTTGCAAAGTATTCTTGAAGATAGTTTTCAAGCTCATCAATAAGATAACTTCTCATTTCAAAGAGTTGATTTTTATAAGATATGATAATTTTATTAATTATAGATTAATGAACCTCTTCAATAAGTATTTATATATATTAAAAGACATTATCTTTCAAAAGAATCTTCATCTTACTAATTCATCAATATTAACTACTTCATACAACTCAAAGATTCTACTTAATACAGTCTGTAAAGCAGCTACAGTGATTTCTTCAGTGATATCAGATTTACTCACTGCAGCTTATTAAGAGATTGCAATAATTTCTAATTCATCAATTAATAATCTATTTATTAATAAGAAAATTCAATCTGAGTGTTCATTATTTCTTATACTTACTAATAATTAATGAATTGACTATGATATCTTTATAAGAATATCTATCTTTTTAGTGCAGAATACACTGAATTCTCTTAAACTCACAGTTAAATCTGATAATTCTCTGATATCTATAAGAAATATCACTACAGTGAGAGAAGCTTCAGTGAAGAACAGTTTTAAAAATCTACTCACTAATTCTGAGATTACTGCACTTTCAATTCTGAAAAATCTTATATATATCAAAGCTTTTATGAAATGAAAGTATTATTATAAGATCTGTGTTAAAGAGATTAATTATTTAAAACAGATAGAGATCTGATAACTGACTGAGAGAATATTATAAATAAGTATTCTTCACAGTTAATGAGTATTTGATAAAAAGTTCAATAATATAAGTAATATTATTTATTATAAGACTCACTGAGTTGTCTGCAGAAATCTTCAATAGAAGAAAATTAATTATTTAAGAATCTTTACATCTGTTATCTCTGTATTTATCTCACAAGCTCTTATAACAATCTCAGCATTCTGAGAATGATATGTTCTGTAGATAGATATAATAACTGCTTTTTTAAACACTCAATTATTCACTGATGAATAGATATATATAAATCAACTTACAGAATTCTGTGAAGACTGTGATAATCTTATATATGAGTTAATACAGAGACTCTACAGTTTTAAGTAAGTAGTACTTTTATAATATAAGAAGCTGTGAAAGATACTATTATACTCAGACTTTTATATCAGTCTCTATAATACTGAACTATTTATTCATAATGAAAGATAGATTTATATAATTATCTATATAAATAATATCTATCTTTACAGTCTGAAAATTAAAGATCTGAACTGAGTCAAAGTTAAAATCACTGCTAATTATAAGATTAAGAATGTAGAGAATTTCAACTGCTATCTAGAAATGAAGATTGATAGAGATTTAACTTTATTAATATTATCTCAATCTCTCTTTATAAGAAATCTTCTGAAGAAGTTCTTAATAAATGACTATTATTCTATATTCACTTCTATGAAGAAGAACATTGATTTTATAAATAATAATAAGAAACTGATTATATATACAGCAGATTTTATGCTATAATTCTATTAATTTAGTATCAGATTTCTGTAATATCTAGTATTTAATACATATTCTAATATGAGCTTCACTGCAGAATTTCTTGAATAATTCAGCTCTCAGTCTATATCAAAGAACTGAGCTGTATACAAGTATACACTCTGATATCTACAGAGTTCAATTAATAAGAGTATAATCTATCACAGAGGTACTGAAATTGAATCTGTAGTATATGCAGATGTCAATTAAGCTGATAGAAATTCAGAATTCTGTTCAATCACTGATTATATCATCTATATAATAGATGACCTTATTGCATGACAGAGCTGCTGATAAACAGAGATCTTCAAGTCATCAATAGAGGCTGAATATATTACATTCTCTGAGACTGTATATAAGCTTGTCTGTCTCTGAGAGCTTCTAGAAGATACTAAATTTATTTCATTTTATCTTAACAATCTGAATGCTGATAATCACTTCATTTTCATCACAGTCAATGATCTGACTTATACAATTCATATTAATAATAAGTCTGTTATAGAGCTATTCTCTTCTGAAGCAATTTCATGCTGCTTGAAGTATATAGAGATCTGTTTTCACATTCTTCAGAATCTCATTCACAAGAATGAGATATCTATCTGATATGTTTCATCTGCTGAGAACATAGCAGATGAGCTTACTAAATCACTTGAAATATTGAAATATACACATTGAAAGGAGAATATTAAGATGAGGAAGATAGAGGAATAGAGGATTAAAAAATGATGATTCTCATGACTGGTTTTTCATTACTACACATTTTCCAGTCATTTTTTGTACCTGTACTTGATTTGAAGGCGAATTTTGTATATAGCATTGTGTATAGTTACTCTGGTGAGTGGGGGTGTCAGGTCACATGATCTGGCTTACTAATCCTTCCACCATATAACTTTCCACAAGCTAGCAACCTTTGAATCACACAAGCTTTACACCTTCCACAGTATATGCGTTAACTACAATGTACAGACGAGGCAACTGCCCGCATGTACGTACAGCTTGGAAAAGAAGAAGAAGAAGAAGAAGAAGAAGAGAAAGGGGGATTCTGGTCCCTGATATGAGGCTGAATGGCTCCAAGATGTATATTAATGTGTACTAACTACTACTATAAAAACAGGAGGAATCCTTTTTCTACATCATAGAAAAGAGAAAAGTGGTTGGTTGCACATAACTAACCTAGGTAAGAAGACAACTTGGACCTGGCCCGGTTGGCCGTTTATCCGAGCCAGAATTGGGGAGAACAAGAACGTGGATATTATACCCAGTTCCATCCCATCCAAATGATGTGGGCTGATTAAAAACACGTAGAAGAGAGAGAGAGTCTCTAGGTAATAATTAATCACCGTAAGATCAGCCACTGCCAAACCAACCCCATCCTCATCCTCATCCTCATCCTCTTTGTTCTCCTTGCAGACTGTGTAGACGGTCATGCATGCCATATGATACGTGGGGCCTGCATAAGCCAACTCGCTGGTCTCTATGTGTGATCTGGGTTGCATTTATTATGTTATTATGTAGTTATTCCTTTATTTATCCCGGCTGGTTGTGTGTCGTTAGACAACGCAAGGTAACCCCCCGCCCTGCCATTTTATATATATATATATATATATATATATATATTTTTTATACAAACTCACTGGTTTTCTTCTCTAATCGTCTCACCTTTTTTTCCCTCTGCATATATATATATATATAAACTCTCGCACTAACGCCCCATCCACGTTTTCCTTCCCCAGGGTACATGTAACAAATATTGGCTCGGCATGGCATGACCTCACTGTTTACTTCGAAAAACCCTCCCTCGCCTCCCTCCCCCGCACTGCCACCATTCTCACTACTCCTCATCCTCATTCAGCCCTTGAGCCCTTGAGTCCTTGAGCCCTTGAGCGCATTTACCTACGCCTTTGCCAGTCGCATGGTGACTTGCAACCATCAGACCAACAACAACTCTATGCTACTTGTGGGGTGGTGCGAAACAGGAATCGTCGTTGTTGACCTGGCTGTTTTGGGTGCTATTTTCGGGTATTTATTTACCAAATACTCCTGCTGAAACTGAAACACACAAAAAAAAAGGGCTGCTTTTCGAGTCTAGAGACGAAATCTCGAGGACATTCCTACACCCCCTTCCCACTACATATCTCTAAAGTGTGCAAGGCAAAAGGCAAATTAATTAGACCTCCTATCTAGATAGTCTGCCAGCGGAAATCTACAGATTAGCCTGCCGGAACTCACGGCATGGCCTTTCTTCCTGCTCGATCTTTGCTTCATCCATACCCGGAACCGCTACCCCCTTACACCCCTCGACAAACAGGGACTTTTGACCCCGAAACCTCCTCTATCCATTCTAACGCCCCTTCGTACGTCTCTGCGGTCCCGTCGTACTATTCTGGGTCCCATCCAACACAGAACAGAGGGAGTGAGTCCGGGGCATTACCCAATGTCAGCGATGTGGGAAGAAACCAGAGCTCCTCCAATGCCCCATCCGGATCCGGAATCCTCTCCTCCCAGCAAAATGCACCGGGATTCGGGGGCGTAGCGGCGACGTCGTCTTCCAATGACGACCGGCGTCGATCGAACAATATGACAAATTCCCACCTGCACTCTCTCTACAATGTTTCAGACTGGGTGCCCGTAGCGGGCGGGTTGCAGTCACGCCATTATCACAATGTCGCAAAGCGGAGAGCGTCGGAGGCTTCTCGCTGTGACAATATGACCAGACATATATTCCCCCCCCTGTTGCGGGGGGTATCTGAGACCAGGAATGGTGTGAATGAACCCGAGGCAACCTCCACTCCGCCGCGCTCCTCATCTCTTCTCTGGGCAGGCATGGCGGGCTCTAGTCTCCGGAGTTCATCGACCAGCATTCTAGCCAGTTTGCACGAAGAGAGCGTCGTGCATCCCCGTCCCCACTCGCCTCAGCAGATGGATTCTGGAAATATCGCGGGAGTGGCGTCCAGCCAGACCGACCTTGCTGCTCAGCTGCCCGTTTCCCCCCACGAAGACCCTGATCTAGTGGGCGAAGCTGCGGCAGCAATGTTCCGCTCACAGCGCCTCTATATAACTTACCAGCAGCAGGAGAACTATAGTGTCGGGGCGCAAAATGTCTCCCTGGCCACTGGTCGCCCTCACCAACCGGCCTCGGCGGGACGTGCTATGCACCAATATAGCTCTCTCATCACTGCCGCAGAGTCAGCTACCCCTACCTCTACGCCTCCGCAAGAAGAGAACCCTAGACCCTCGACTGCCCCCAATGCGTCCACTACGCCCACCACAGAGTCAGAACTTGATAGGCGCGCTCCTCAACAACCGCAACCGCAAGCACAGCCACAAGAACAAGAACAACAAGAAGAACAAGAACAGCCACCACCACCACCACTGCCACCATCCGAGCGCCAAGGGACAACCCCACCCACCACCTCTTCCACAATCACCACAACAACAAGGCCAACAAGACAATACATAGACGACGATGCCCTCTGCGCCCAGGAATCCAAGACATGGGACTTCATGCTAGCGCAGATGGCCGACTGGGAGGAGCGCGAACGCAGCTGGAAGAAATTCAAGGACGGGATGGACAAGAAGTTGAATTCTGGAAAATTGGGCATGGGGATAGGGTTTGGGATTGGGCTTGGGCTTGGGCGTGGGCGGGGGTCGTGGTCGAATTCTGGATCTAGTTCCGGTGGTAATGGTGGTGGTGGGAAGGGGAAATTGAAGAAGGCATCATCATCGCATCAATTTGGGCATGAGAAGAAATGGAAGAGGAGGGTTGGCTTGGCTTCGTGATTTCTTTTTTCTTTTTTTTCTTTTTTTTTTTGTTGTGGTGATTTAACTTATATTTTGGTTTGTCTTGTTTGATTTGTTTCTGTGCTGTTCTGTCCTGTCCTGTCTACTATAAGTTAGTTGAAGGTGTAAGTTAAAAGTAGCAAAGCAGTAACTACTCTGCTAATGTGGAAATTGTCATGGCTCTGACAACCTCAGCAAGGCCCCCAGGCGGGAGATTATATATCTATATCTCTCTCTTTTCTCTCTCTTTTATTATGGAAAAACCAACTTTTCCTTCCATGCAAAAAACACTAATATGACCTCACATGATATCACATGCACCTCATCAGATTTATTTAAATGTCTGTACAGTTCATATTAATTTTCAAATCTTCATTCTTTTTTTTATTCCGCTTTTTTCATATATTCTCTACAGTATTTACATTTTTCTATACTCTTCTCTATGTTCATTTTTAATCTCTACATTCATAACATGTGCCACTGTTCAATATGTGACAATTCTCATTCACTGAGCATGTTTTGAACAGCTGTAATTCAATGCATTGTTTCATATATGCTCTACATACTGTCAAACCCAGCATTGAGCACACCAGATATATTCAGTTCAATTCTTCTGCCTGTCAATAATAATAATCCCTCTATATATTATAGAAAAACTAACTTTTTCATGCAAAATATCTCTTCACATGCACTCATGTGCTGTGCACTCACATGCATCTTCATCAAATTGTGAGATGATTGATCTCTTCTATTGAGAGCTAGGCTAGCTATGTTATTATATTACATATGTTGCAGGTGGAGTGATTGCTCCAGGCAATGCCACTCAGGCAGCTACTACTGCACAAATCTATGATCTGCTCTGCGGCCTACTCTGCGGCCTAAGTGGTAGGTAGAGGGGGGGGGGGACTGCGCAAGCATCAAACGCTCGCTTACACTCACTTTGCTGCTTGTATATTATTATATATATTTATTTACCTAGTTACTTATGTGGGTAACTCTGTGTTCACTTTGCTCAAGTGGTCTAACTACGTACATACAATAGTCTGTAGCGTAGCCCTATCCTATCTGTTCCGTTCCTGGCTCCCACCCCACCCCATAACTCCAACGAGCGAACGGCGTCCTGTATGAAAAACAATTGCACATAGTTACTAGAAATTTTAGGTTGAAATTTCAGTAACTACCGGAGTTAAATTGCTCCAGCCCGAAGCCTTCAATGTGGCTTAGAAGTTAGGACCCCCCCTTATATAACTAGGCAAATAGTGCTCATGGAGCGAAGTGATGCCTGGAGTCGCCTCTAAATAGTTCAGGAGGGCATGGTAATGTGCAATCTCTTTACTACTTAAATTACTAGTGTATGCAAGGACCTACGTTCTGCAAACCTCCGTGCTCCATAGCTATTTTATTCTATTAATATACAATTTTATTTTATTTTATTTCTTTTTATGAGTGTACATTAACTTATAAGTTTAACTACATGGATACGGTAACATTCTACTTAGTAGGTAGCTCTGAGAAGATGCTGGAAAGGGTTAAACTTATGCTTTGTGATGTGATCGAGAGCTGTGGGATTGGATATATGGAACTACATCTTGTTTACTTTCTTCTCTCTCTCTTCCTCCCTTGAAAAAGTTCCTCCTTTCAACTTCCTCTCTCTCTTTTCTTTTGTTTCTCCCTTTTCTTTTTAAACAAAAGAGAAATCTATATATACCCTACAACCCCCTACCCTCAAAGCAATGCATCCTCGCAATACCCCCCCCCCCCCCTAGAAAAGAACGAACCCCCCTCTTGCCAATCATGGCCACCATAATCATACTTACCACCACCTCTCTCCTACAAGCAAACACGCCCACCGCCAACGCCCTCTGCTACACCCTCGACGGCTCTGATTTCCAACGACCTACCCTGCCACAGCAACGGCAGCAGCACCACCGATGTAAGCGTATGTTGCGAAGAGGGCTTCTTCTGCACATCGGGTCTGCTCTGTTTGCCGTCGAAGGAGAAACCGGATGTCCTTATACGCGGGACATGTACGGATAAGACGTGGGCTTCGCCGGGGTGTCCGAGGAATTGTGTTGCTAGTCAGTTTTTGATTTTTGATTCTCTTTTTTAAAAAAGATTTTCTTTCGGTTTTCCCGCTTCTTTTATTTTTTCCGTTCGCTATTGCCCCAAATGCGGGACGTTTTGTCTGTATGCCCTAAAAAAATAAGCGTATTCGGGAAAAATATCCTGAATAACTAAAACGGTGAATCACTCAACCTCTACCCGGAAGCTCAGACAACCCCAGCGGCGGCGAATATGTCATGCTCTGCGGCGAGGATTCAAATGAATATTGCTGCTCGCAAGTGAACTGCTGCGATGACCCCAAGGCCTCGCGATTCACGCTTGATGAACAGAGCATCGTGGCAACGGCTGGCCAAACGCCGCCGCCGCCGCCGCCGCCGCCGCCCACGACGATGACGACGACGACAACGACGACGACGGGGAGTAGTAGCGCGCCCACTACCAGTACCACGCTCGCTACCAGTACCACTACGACGCCTGCGCCAAGTACCGGAACCGAAACGAAAACTAAAACAGAAACTGGAACTGGAACCTCCGCTTCGAGATCGGGGACCAGACTACCCGCATCGACGTCTTCGGTAATATTGGTAGCGGGAGCGAGAGCGGGAGCGGGAGCTCGAGTTCAAGAACAACCGCAATCGGTGCTGGAGTTGGTGTGGGAGTTGGCGTAGTCCTTTTCGGTGCGGCTGGGTGGATCTTCTTCTGGAGACGACGGAAGACGAGACTGGGCCCGCTCGCTGAAGAACAGGATTCCATGAAGCAAGGGACTGGTTATTCGCTGGTGCCTCCGCGGTTAATATCGGAGATGCATGGTGAAGGGAAACAGATTAGTGAGATGGAAGGGTAGCTGTAGCGGTTCGTTAAAGTAGTTGAGTTCAAGAGACTTTGGCAGACAAAGCTATGCTTTTTGATGTTTTTTTTTATCAATTTTCGGCCACTTCAATATATGTAAGAATATCATCAATTGGCAAAGAAATTTTAAGAGAAGCTCTATGGAGATAGAGTGAGATTGCACCCCGTAGCTTGAACAGATGATGCAAGTAGTTAATTGTCACGGCCACCACTACTCAGGGAAGTAGTGACGTTAACAAGCAGGCCAGAAGAAGGGCTGGCATCTATACCTATAGGCGCCCATGAGTGCCTATTATACCCGCAGTGGCTCTCTATCATAAGGGTCCTTCCCCAACCCTGCCAAAGCAACGAAGGTCAGAATTCAGCCATAGCATCATCTTCTGCCATGTTTCCATAAGACAATAAAGCTCTTGGGCGTTCGTCGTCGCCCTGCCCTTATCAGCCCTCGGTTAGACTCACTCACTACCCTGAGATCTTTTCATATCCCAGGGCTTGAACAAGGCCGTTCAAATCTTAGAACGGCCTCCTTTGTTTTGCCTTTGTAAAATCCCAGCTGAAGAGAAAAAAGTTTATGTGAATTGAAAGAGCACAGGTGGTGGTGTGGGGTTGGTGGGATGTAGAATGCAAAAATGCATTGAGGGTGGGAAGAAACAGCTATCACAAACAGTTCATGGAGATGTTTCTCATCGTAGAGAGACTTACTCTGTGGTTTTTAGAATTTGAACCCTTACCGAGTCTTTTATTCTGGTCAATTCCGTTTTTTCGAACGGCGTGAAGTCGCTGATTTTTTTGCTTCACTACGAAGTAGTGTCGTGTAGTAAGGCTGGCCAACCCAACCCCGATGCCGCACCCACCCACCTAGCACACTTCTTGATTTTGAGATGCCTGATGGTTTGAAGGAACCATAAGAGTGAGTTTCCTCTGGAGGCATGAAGTTTCGTATCCCATAGCTTTAGGCGGCGAGAGTGTTGTGGTGCAGGTAGTTTAGGTGAGGGGTTGCATGTATGAAAGACATTTGCCATTTGGCCGGGGTCTGATATGATTGGTGGTGGAAATTAGGGTGCTGGCTGGCTGTTATACCCACGGCCCCTGGCGGGAGAATAATGGCAGGGATAGATAATTCCACCAAATAAACCTGGCTAATTCCACTGTTGCTGAAATCAATATACGCGAGTTAGGTTATGTTATGTGAGTTCTTTGTGTACGTACGTGATCTTGCACACTTTCATTGTATTTCGTCAAGAGGTCTTGAAGATTTTCTTTTCTCTTTTTCCCCCTCAGTATTCGAGTCTCAGAACCCCGGTAAAGACATGGCCGTAACAACCAAGAATTTAACAACCGAAATGGGGGGAATGGGAGTATGGGTTCACGCACCAGAAGACGGGGCGCGAAGCTGTGTATCTCATACACTCTCACATACTACACATTGATGCTCTCTCTCTCCCAGCCGACACATCTCTCGCTACCACCTGCTCCGAAATTTCATTGTCTTTCATCATAGGAACACCACGAGCCCGTATCAATCAACCACTGTCCCTGTCCCACTGCTCATCTTCCAACATTCTGCCGGCAGTTGTTGTCCACCATGATACCAAGCGCCGTCAACGGCAGAAAATTGGGGTATGCGTATGTACTGTACATACATTGAATATATATAAATATTCACCAAAATTCGTCGTGGTGGAAAAAAAAAAAAAAAAAAAAAAAAAAAAAAAAAAAAAAAACCCCAAAGAAAATAGAAAAAGCCGCGGCTTAATCTCTGATTCCCTGTTTAACATCTCACAGAGCTGTTTCAAACCCCACCCATGGGATCGGCTATACCAGCCTCCTCCCATACCCTGCCTGGGCTTTGTGATACGGAAGGCGGCAAAGGCGTCCCGTCCTGGAGTCTGCCGGTCTGCCTGACGGTCGGTTCCATGGATATTACCAGCAACGGCTTGGTAAAACGGCCCCAACAACTCTAGCTCTCTTTTGGGTGTGTCAACTCGATGACGCTAGTGGCGGAGAGAGGGAGGAAGGGGGAAGGCTAGCTGCGTCCTTTCATATTCGTTGAAAAAGGGAAGGTTCTAAGTCCAAAGGGAGAGAGGTCAGGGTGGTGTTTTGGGAGGAAAGACGGTGACCGAATTATTGAGGTGATAAATAATTAACCGATATAGTACAATGATAATCAAGTCGGGACGTACGGGGCATTCACTGTCTCCACGCAAACATGCTCGGGAATCCGTGCTGTGTTGGTTCTCGCTTGCTATCGGTTGGCGGATGGGGCCGCCTTCGAGCGCCCAACGCGCTTGTGGTTCGATTAGGCGCCCCAGTTTGCCGTTGGGGAAATTGGGGTCCATCATACGTGTGGGCACCCATCCAATGTTCGTTGGGCACGGCAGGAGGCGAGGGATATGCCAGACCAGACGGGGGCCATCCCGGCTGTGGGTTCGGGAAGCCCGTGTGGAAGGGCATGGGCAAACTTTCCTTAGGATAATTAGGGACCTCGTTACGTGGCGTTGTAAGACCCCTCCCATTATAACATTTTACAAGCATCTGCGCTGCGGAAGGACGCTTAGAGGGGTCTATTTCAGTCATGTCTTTGATCGTTTGCAACTCAGGGGCACTTGCGGCCTGCAAAGCGAAAGCAACGCATTCGGCGTGTGAGCTGAGCATTTTGCTCCCGTATTGGTTCACATTCAGCGCGACCGCCACTGTGACGAAGAGAGACCATACGTCTACTTTGCATGTTTGCATGTCCCTTCCCGGCGATTGCACCTCCGGGGCCTGATACATGGGCGACCCAACATTTGATCTGGCGGCATCAGTGGAATTGCATAGTCCAAAATCCGTGAGTTGATATAGAAAGTGAGACTGAGCAGATTCAAGTGGTGTGTAAAGGATGTTGGCTGGTTTAACATCGCGATGGATAACTCTGTTGTAGGCGAGATAGTCAAGGGCCTGGAGCATCTGACCAAGAAGCTCATTAACTCCACCGGGATTTTGATCAAAGTATTTTTGATCAATTAAATTATCCACTCCTCCTGCTTTCAAGGCGGTGAATATCCACAGTTCGTGCGAGGAGGAATACCAGTGGATATATTCAACGATGTTTCGCTGTTGATATCAGCTAGGCAAGATGCATGGCAGAGTACGAAGGATTCACTAACATGAGAACTCCTATAGAGTGCCATAATCTCTCGCTCCAATCGATCTTTTTGCTGGGATTGGAATCCACCTTGAGGTTGCGGAATGGCTTTGGCTGCCATAGTTCTTCCCGAGTCGACATTGCATTGACAGCCTTATGAACTACACCAAAACTTCCCTAACCAATAACAGACAATACTTTATACCGAATTATCAGTTGTTATATGGTAGGCCATTGGTTTAAAGTAGAGATTTCCGAGGGTACAACTGTAGGTACGTTGTCCATAGTTCGAGCCTGTAGAGGGCTTTCTATTCGATTCTTCGCTTCTTCTTCCCCTTTGAAATTAGCCCGATGCCATACCATTTCGAATTGAACTTGATCGCAGCCGATACCACCCATGCCGATGATCTTGTTGAACCGTTCGCCAACGACGACCTTACGCTTGCATCCAGGCCTGAACGGCGTAGCTTCGTCACCAAAAACCTGGGTGGTTTGAGATGTTGACTCATCGTAAAGCATCACGACATCATACTCCGGGAGAATTTCAAATGAGCATTGAATTCGGGAGATACTTGGCCCATCCACGACGATGTCGCCATTGCGCCCTAGAGTGGCCAACGTATATCGTGCAGCTGAGCCAATCTGGAAGCCAACATTTAGCATATGGTGCTGCCTATGCATACTGTCAACATGACTGGAAAGAAGATGATAGTTGGATGGATTCTGAATGACAGCGTGCGCATTTTCGTTTAAAGGTAAGAGAGAAAATATAGCCTGAGGATGAGGAACTGCACAGGGCGGAGCAGGCATAGTTTGTCTATGAATGGCAAAATCTGATGAGAATTGTACTTGGTGCGAACAGCAAGTGGCCGGGGGAGGACATGATTCAAGGGAACATCTGTGGAGGAGGGCACATAAGAGGTCCCTTTAATACTCAGTCAAGCAGATTTTCGCAAGTTCCCAGGCCACTTAATCAGATCCCTGACACCATGATTGTTTGCCCTTCAAAGACAGGCGGGCAGGCAAGGCAGCCTTGCACGCTTTGACAGTGCTGTGTTTTGCACCCAAGCAAGATCGGGATCCATAAAGGGGAAACATTGGGCACCCATGCAGCACCTGTGCAGCTGTGATTCATCCCCAGACCAGCAGGGCACCAATATCCAAGCAGTCTGGGTGCTGTTTGACTATAGTTAGAAAAAGAAGAGCATGGTTTAGAACTACATACATACATTTACAGAGTAGACACTACTCTGTATAGCTTCATATTCAGCATACATATTTATATTGAAGATAAGAAATATAGAGTAGATACTCTCTAGAATAATTAACTGAAAAAATACTTATATTTTACAAATATAGCTAGTATTTTGTACAAATATTATATGAAGAAATCAGTCTATGAACAGTATACTGTGCATGTATTTGCATTTTAGATGATAGTGACATGAGACCTTTGATTCTCACCATGTTCAAATCTTTTTTTTATAATCATATTGAACTATCTAAGTAGGTTTCAACAGCTCATGAATGTATCTGTATGTGGTTGCTGTTGTCAATAATCATAATAAAAATGATAATAATAATAATGCAGAGATAACCAACTATTTACTCCATATTTACAAGAGTTACTGTAGTTACACTGAAAGGATTTTTACCCAGGTTGATCAGTATAGTCAGTATAATCCTACATTTGAATGAGTTCTTCCTGATTCCCAAGACCTAATAAATGGGCTAGAATAGTCACTATGAGTGAGTACAGAGTATATACTACATACACAATATCCATCCTTATTGTTGAGATTGTGATTGATAGATTTGCCCACCAACAATAGAATAAGGGAAGCTGAGGTACAGTACGGAGTACATAGTTACAGAGTAACTAACTACTCTGTAGTTAGTTATGGTAAATAGTTAACATACCAAATAAATATCTTAGAAGGATATTCCCCTCCACCAGCCAGGCAAATGCCCGACGAACCATGACAACAACTGCCAACAACCGCCCGACCACAACACTCCAAACTTCACGCTTCGAAATTAATTTCCCACTCGTACCTTCATGCTGACTCTATGCGGCTTTCCATTTACCTCATTCGCGATATTCTGGCCAACACTTTTGAAATCAAACCTATCATCCTGGTTTTTGCGATCATGGTCACTCAAGTTAATGGCCTTGGGCCCCTTACGTTAGCGGAAGTCATTGACGCCCTTCAGAGGTTACAGGACAACCCGGAGCTTCTCACCCGCGAGCGATCCGCGTTGAACGACCCTCCACCGCCATACGCGTCGGGAGAGACGACACAACCACCCAGTCCGCCTCACCCGCTCACTGAAGCTGATCGACGAAGGGAGCGGGAGCGACGCAAGAAGGAAAGGCTTAACTCAATGCCAGAACCTCAGTTCGCTTACCAGCGAAGGATAGAGGAGGAACGTCTGATAGACCAGTGCCTGAGGCGGATGAGAGGACGAAAAGATACACTGCCATTTAAGATGGAGCTTACTTTCGCCGAGAATGCACTCGAGAATGTCACCAACCGATGGAAAGAGCAAGGGATATGGAGTGGTAGATGGAAAGCTCAGCCTTTTGGGCCACGCCGCTGGGAACATAGAACATGAGGCTGACATCCAACGCCCACTTCGTTCGGGACCTACGCTAGACCCACCGAACCAACGATGGAATATTCTTAGTGCGGAGTGCATGACTGCCCATAAACGTGAAACTAAGCCCTCGCGTCCATACTATCAGTTTCTTTTCCAGATATCCAAGGAGCGCGAATGGTTAGAAGACGAACTAGATATCGAACCCAGTGACATCAACACCAAAGCCTACGAGAATGTCAAGAATCACTGGCTCGCGCAAAAGATTTGGAATCCACAGTGGGGCGATATGCCTGGGATGACTTGGATTCACGAAGAGCTAGACGATGAAGATTCTGAGCAACCAGACAGCCCTCCCGCCGACGAATCTGTGCTTAACAATGCTGAAGAAAGTGACAGCCGGCTTGGTCGCCGTGTTCGCTACAAGTACCGCTCAGATGGGTTTGGTTTTGTCGAAGTCCCTTCCGCCTCCCCGGAACCAACAGGGGAGGCTGAGCCTTCGTTAACTTCTAGGACGACGGTAGGCTCCAACGGAGATGCTTTCACAGATGGAAATGCATCTAACCTACCCGGCTCCGTACCCCGGAGCCCCAGAAATAGAAAGGAACCTCGAGAACCTTCTCGTCTCGCTTCTCAACCAAATGGTACCTCAAACGTTAGAAAGCGTGCCATGCGAGATTCTCCAGATCCTACAGATTCTACATCATTCCAATCGAGGAAGCGGATCCGCTCTACATTTGGGCCCGCTAGTGCGCCTCAGAGTCCGGTGCCTCATGCAACAAGAGACTTACCGGGAGAAGATGAGGATGCGGAACCATCTCTATCTACTTTGCCATTGTGCTGTAGAATCCTGGATGAAGATCGACAACCACCGCTTCGAAATTCCAGAATCAATACACGATCTAGAACAAACAAACGCTCAGTGTCTTGCAACGCTTCACTTGATACCAACAAAATTTCACAGTTAAGCTCAAGGCGGAACCGGCGAGCGAGCCCGGAAACGCCGACTACTTCACGTAAACCGCCAGTAGTTTCGAAGAACAATCCTTCCGACCGATCTCACTCCAGTGGGTAATTGGCATGGTTTTTACTCGAAAAAGCCAGGTGTGTCACTCTCATGTTATGTTGCCAGAATGAAAGTAGGTACAAGGCTAGCCAGCTGAACATGATTGAACCAGACCGAGAATTGATAGGATAACCCTAAAAAGGGCAACCACAAACATCAATCCCGGGAGGGTGGTTTGTGTATTCTAGAAGCTCTGTTGGCCATTTCGTATGGTGGCGATGCTAGTTCTCAACAGCTCAATTAATTCAGCTGGTGAGTCCGGTACCTGGGCCCATTTTCATCCTCAAGCTTGTTTTTGATGGTGCGACGTTTGTCGTGGACTTTTCACTGGACAGATGTATCAATTTTTCAACATTATATACCTTCCTTTGATGAAGCGGCTAATTGAAGAAATTAGCGCGTTGTATTTATATATACGAATGGGACATGCAACAGATGAGATTCGGGTAATTACATTGTATACCGTATTCGAGTTCTAATATATTCCACCTCTATTCTAATAAGGTTACAGTTTTTTTGATATTGAAGTGCATCCAGCCAAGCATGGAATAGAAGAAAGGAGATCCAAGGCCCAATACCTGCTCGCAAACATTCCTCCTCACAACTTACTCGCAACCCATCTCGGCTTCCTCTTCTCCACAAACGCCTTTACGCCCTCCTTCAGATTCTCCCCTTCATTCAACCGCCTCGCCCATCCCTCCATCAACATCTGACTCCCATCCTCCGCGCCCACCCCTTCCCACCCCAACTTAACCCCCTCCCGACTCACAATCACCGCGTCAGGACTATTCGCCACAATCTCCCCCGCAACCTCCACGGCCCGCTTCACCACCCTCCTGTCCCCAACATCCACATCATCCGCCTCCCCCCCATCCTCCACAACCTCATTAACAAGCCCCCACCGCTCCGCCTCCTCAACCCGGACCACCCTCCCCGTCAACGCCATCTCCATCGCCCGCGGCTTCCCCACCGTCCGCACCAGCCTCGTCAGCCCACCTGCCAACGCGACGACGCCGCGCTTAACTTCCGGCAACGCGAATTTCGCCCCGCGCCTGCTGGCGATGACGATGTCGGCGTTGATGATGATCTCGCAACCGCCGCCGTAGGCGAGGCCGTTGACAGCACAGATGACGGGTTTTTTCCCTGCGCGCCGGGATAGGCCGGCGAAGCCTGAGGGGGGTGGTGCTGGGCGGCCGGATGATTGGGAGTTTTTATCGTTACATTCTAGATTTTTGATTTGTGGTTTTTAGTCTTAGGTTAATGGGTTTGGGGGTTTAGTTTTGGGTTTATGGCGTTTCATTTTCTTATTTTTTTTTTTATTTTTTTAATTTTTATTTATTTATTTATTTATTTTATCTTTTATTTCTCCCCTTTATTTTTATTTTCCTTTCAGGACTGCAAGAAACATCCACACATGAAACTTTTTTGTATATGTTTATTTTTCCTCCCTGCCCTAAACAACAAAGCCCTAAGAATAGCTTAGCTTAATTAAATAGAACTTACCCTTTAAATCAGCCCCAGCGCAAAACGCCCTCCCCTTGCCCGTAATGATACCAACTCTCAACAACGTCCGCATCCATCCACTCCCACACCGCGTGCAGTTCCGCATGGCCCTGCGAGTTCACGCAGTTGAGCGATTTGGGCCGGTTGAGGGTTACCAGGAGGATTTCCGGGGTCGGGAAACTGAGGAGGCAGTGTTGGGTGGGTGGTGGGGGGTTTGTGAAGTTTGGTACGGTCATATTGTCGTTTTTTTCTTATTTTATATATATATATATATATTGATTTTTGTAAGATTGACGGGGTAGGTTTTTTGTGGGATACGGTGAAGAAGACAAATTAAGTAGTAGTTTTTGTCTGGCTTTGTCCGGATGTATACAATACAATGGGGGTTATATTCCAGTGTTTCCCGGGATCGAATCTTTATATGCCCGAGGTGAAGCGGTGGATGTTCCCTTCAAAAAAAAAAAAAAAAAAAAAAAAAAAAAAAAAAAAAAAACAAACTCCGATACGCGAGGTTCAGAGCCTTGAAAGGGATATTAAATATTACTATTTTATATGGCGGCTTACCCGTCCTGATCTACGCTCGGGATGTATTTCCTTAAGATTCTACAATCCATCCAGAGCAGACGCCAAGATCTGGGGAAGTTCCAGGCCAACTGCCGAGGCCCGATGGTGAGAAGCCGGAAGAGGAGGCCGGGTTAAACCCAAGATATAAACTTATCTGGCTTGTAAATAAAAAGGACATGATCACTGTGGAACGGAGCTGGTTGAAATAGTTTGGTTATGTACTATACTATGAGCTTTTGTTAGTTAATAAAAATCGCATTAATATAATATGCGACTTCCTCATTAAATATATACTGAGAAGCTTGTGCAAAAGGTATCTTATACTGCACAGTAACCTAGCTTGAAATTGGACCCAAACCTTACCCCTAATCGAAGGTTTAATAAAAAAAGTAAGTTAAATTTCACCACTGCCTGCAGTTGCTTTCCTTACACAGGGAAAAATAACTTAAACCTAAAATCTGTAAATAGATTAAATACAGTTTCATGGGAAATAAAAACCAAACGGATGGCTGTGCAACACTGTGCAATTGGATATCAATGGTTGTTAAAGGTAGGCAATAAAATTTTAACACGAGAGTAGTAAAAATGAAGAGGGAGAGTGAAAGGGGGGTAATGGGGGTTATAAAATTATAAGGGAGATGGAGGGGTTCTGAATGAGATGGTGAGGTAGTAATGATGATAATGACGGTGATGATGTTGTTGATACTGGTGATAATTAATAATAAATTCGGTAAAAGGGGATGATAATGGGTAGAAAATGGCTCCTTCGATTCTGTCTCATTTTCTTATGTTCCGTCCTTTCCCTCAACTCCTTCTCTTCGTCCCCCTTTCATATCATTATTTATGCCTTCGCTATCCACCCGCTATGTACCATAAAGTCGTATATTCGTGAAGATTTGGCAACGTCGACCTATTATTCACAAACAGTGTCAATTCATATGATTTGGAATTGTGACGGGCGCGACATAGAAACTAAAAGGAAAAAAAGAGAAAAGAAAAAAAAGAGGTGAAAAGGAAAAAGACCACCGTGGAGGCAAGGGTTTAGAGTTGGAGGATTCTGATGGGTGTTCTAGGTCTCACCTTACACATCGCCCGAGCATCTTTCTTCTTCAAGCTCCCGCCTTGCTTCATCGCCTCTTTAATCATATGCTCTTTAATGACGAGATACGGTTTAGGCTGCAGATGAAGAATGTTACACAGCTCCACCTCCTCCTTCGTCAGCAAGTGCAGGTCCGGGGCGATGTCATTTTCCAATTTCCATGGCGCAAGCCCGCTTATTGGCGGGATGACGTATTTCGTCTTTGCGGGTGGTTTGGGAGTCGACGTCCCGTTCATCTCGGTGGTAGCGAACATTTTATCGAAGTCGTTCAAGGGTAGAGCGGATGCTGGTTCGGGGCCGGAGGAGGTGGAGACGGGGGCTTGTTGTTTCTGTTGGGTTCCGTTGCGTTGGAGGCGAAGGGGTAGTTCTGGCATTGTTAATTGTGTGGCGGCGGAAGGAGTATCTGGGATCTGTGATGGTTTGGGGCGTGTGCCCGCCATTCTATCAAAGGCTCCTTGCGGGATTGCGCGTTGGGCTCTCTGCTGCTTTTCTTGCTCGTACTTCTCTCCGCTTTTCAGATCGCCGATTCCCATCGTTCGCCATTCTTGTAGTTGGGCTATTGCGAGCTGGAGGTTATGTTCGTATTCGAGGCCCTTTGTGAATTCCTCGAAATCTTCATGATTCATCATGCGGGCGAATGGTTTTGCTTTGTTGAGGAGTTCGCGTTCTTCTTTTGTCCGTTTCTTGTCTTGGGCGGTATTTTTGCGGTATTCCAATAGGTTGTGTTCGAATATTATTTTCTTACGTTCCGTTCGGGCGGTAAGACGGGAGTTGTAAATGTCCTTCACGGTCATTTTAAGTTCCATTTCCGGGTCCATTTCCCCATTCGCGTTTAGGCCATCACCGGGTTCAAATGACATGTGTTGCACCGCTTCCTCAGCTTCATTTGCGAATTCCGTCTCGAATTCGAGACGGCCTGGCATATACCCCTGGACTTCATGGCAGGCGGGTACAGAGGCCGTGGGCTTTTGCTTTGGTGTTGCAGGAGGGGCGACCCGTGCCGCCTCTTTTCGAGCTTCGATTCGTCGCTTTTTGCGAGCCTGGAACTCCTCTTTCGATATTTGTTCTTGTAGAGTTTTGTCGTTGGGATCAGCGCGTTCGGGGAGAGGGAATTTGGAACTGTTGATATAAGTTTCGATGTAATGGTCGCGTACTTCTTCCTTTGTTCGGTAGCCGCCAATATGATCAGCAATGTCTGCCCATGATCCTAGGCCGTAGATTTCCGCGCCTTCTAATAGCAATAACTCTTCATCTGCGCCCCAGTCAGGTTGGTAGATAGGAACCGAGTTTTGCTCGATGACGTAGTATGGGTGTGTTCGCGGATCATGATTCTTTGAGCTTTCGCCGGCGGCGAAACATGGGACGCACAGATCATATTCATGGCAGGCACTATGCGCGCAAGAAATGCGCACCTAACCGCATCAAACCCCCCAAAACATCAGTATCTTGAACATAACATGGCGCGGAGTATACGCAGTCAGTACTATACGCAGTCAGTACATACCGTCGAGGTGACATCCACAGAGCAAACGTCGCAATGGTATTTTGTTCCACCTTCGGTACCGCGCGCAGCGGTCTTCTTCCGTATGACACCCATTGAGTGAATCAAACTGGCATCACCGTTTCCCGAGTGTCCGTCTATAGTGTGAGAGTGGTGTTTAGTAGGCCTTTAGGGAGACGCAACAAGTATAGTGGTACTCGGGGGGAGGGGGGGGGGGGGATTTCGCCCTGGTATGTGTTGTACTATGCAGTGGGTCGGGTCGGGTCTTGGAATGAGTTATAGGACAAGTAAATAGCCCGATGGCGTGGACATGGTCTTTGTGCGACGAAAAGGAAATAACCAAAGGCTGTCTAGCGGGCAGGAGAATTAGAAGCGGATGAGGACAATCAGGGATCAGGGCTGACGTTCCCCGGGTCGTGATGGTCGATACGGGGGAGCGGCTGTTTGGCTGCCGGAAGAGAGCCTTTTCCGATCTACCGAGAGAGCCGCCAGAGCCAGCCGCCAGCCGCCGCTAATGTCAGGTGATGTAGCCCACTAGTCTTTATCTGGCCTAGTGGGGTTCAAGTTCGGTTGGGAGATGTTGGTGGCTTAAAACGGGCTGGAAGTGTGGCTAAGGAGGTTGGGAGAGTTGGAGAAAAGGGACGAAATGGTGTCCGTCCAACTTCCCAAACCCAACACACCCAACACCAGACAATTATTTAATATTTATTTACTATTACGCTGCGTAAGTAAGCTTGTGGAGGGTCGGTCGTTTAATTAGACATCGAGTCAACCCATCAACGTTTTCTCGGGAAGAAGGCGGAGCAGTGTTTCACTTCCAAGACCCAGATCTCCAGGACTGGACTTGAGACCCCGACCCCGTTAATCAGCCGCCGCTGCTTACTGTACTTGTACTCCGTACTGTACTGTCCTGTGTACTTGGCGGCTTTCCCCCCTCTGCTTTTCTTGCTGCGAAACAACCAACAACAACACCAACCCTCCGCTCTATACAAGTCCAGCAGCAGTCATTTTACCCGGTAGCTCCATACTCCCGGGGAGCACTCTGCTTCACTTTCCATCCTCTCCCTCTGTTATCAGTCGGGCCGTCTAATTCTGTCCCGTCCTTCTCTAGACATTGTGCCGTCCAAGGCTCATTACCTCATTTAGACCCCTAGATCCAAAATACCGCGTCCCCTTAGTCTACAAATATATACACCCTTTGACCTCTCCTCTCTCCTAACTTCCCCCTATTTATCCCTTACACAGGCGATAGAACTCTCTTCGCACTGATAACCGCTCACCTTGCTAGCCCTTGGAATTCTCCTGTCCTTCATCGCACTTCGTCTTCGCCTTGACTCCCCAAGGTTCATCATCATGGCGTGGAAACTTACAAAGAGTATGCCCTTTTTCCCAATGATAGTCCTATTTCCCTCCATAAGTTTTTGAGTTACTGACATTCTTCCCCCAAAGAGCTTAAGGAGACACATCTTGCCCCGTTAGCCGATTCTTTTGGCAGGTCATCGTCGACGTCTACCATTAAGCCCGATGCTGCTACCACGGAAGAAAATGGCAGTGCATCTCCAAGTCCCGCCGCCCTTTCTCCAAACTCAAACGGCATTGGTAAGGCCCTTTTTTTATTCATATCATTGAAGCCTATGAATGTTATCATGTTCCACTAATACGGTAATCCTTCAATTTTAGCTGCTTCAGAGGCTCTAGTGTCACCTCCCGTTGCTCCAGCTAAGCCCGGTATTCTCATCATTACGTTACACGAGGGGAAGGGCTTCTCACTCTCGCCTCACTACCAGCAGGTGTTCAATGCACATTTCCAAAACTCGATCTCAGGCAACAGTAGCTTCGCTGGACCACCCTCCATCAGACCCAACTCATCCTCATCTCATTCCACCCAGGGAACAGTTACTAGTTCCTATGCGCAGTCCAACCGACCTCAGTCGACGAGCGGCGGGATCAATGCTGCACCTACAATCCATGGTCGATATTCCGCCAAATACCTTCCCTATGCTCTTCTGGATTTTGACAAGCAGCAGGTTTTCGTTGATGCTGTATCAGGTACTCCGGAGAATCCTCTTTGGGCAGGCGATAACACCTCTTTCAAGTTCGATGTCTCTCGTGTGACTGATCTCAACATTCAACTCTATCTGCGAAACCCTGCTGCCAGACCAGGTGCTGGCAGAAGTGAGGATATTTTTTTGGGTGCCTGCAGAATTAACCCGAGATTTGAAGAAGCCCGTCCTTTCGTGGAGGATCCCAAGTTGAGTAAGAAAGACCGCGAAAAGGCAGCCGCAGCCCATGCAGAACAGGAGCGTCAAATGGGACAGTCTGGCACGGAATGGACAAACTTGCAATTCGGTACAGGAGCCATCAAAATTGGTGTGTCGTTTGTTGAAAACCGTCAGAAGAGTCTCAAAATGGAAGATTTTGAACTTTTGAAAGTCGTCGGTAGAGGCAGTTTTGGAAGGGTCATACAAGTTATGTAAGTTCTAGCTGCCCATCGCCCACAATGCTCGTACGGCCGGCGACCTAACATATATCTATTGTTAAAGGAAACGTGATACTGGCCGTATCTATGCAATGAAAACTCTTCGCAAAGCCCATATCATTTCTCGATCCGAAGTGGCGCATACACTGGCTGAGAGATCAGTGCTTTCCCAAATTAACAATCCTTTCATCGTTCCTCTCAAATTCTCATTCCAATCCCCAGAGAAGCTATATCTTGTTTTGGCCTTCGTAAACGGTGGTGAATTGTTCCACCACCTCCAAAAGGAGCAGCGTTTCGATATCAACAGGGCCCGCTTTTACACAGCAGAATTGATCTGTGCGCTGGAGTGCCTACACGGGTTTAAAGTCATCTATCGTGACCTTAAGCCAGAAAATATTCTGTTGGATTATACTGGCCACATTGCCCTGTGCGACTTTGGATTGTGTAAGCTTGATATGGAAGATGAAGACCGGACGAATAGTAAGTGATTGCTAGCCGAGATGATTTTAAATGATGTCTGGCGCTAATTTACTGCTAGCATTCTGTGGCACACCCGAATATCTCGCCCCTGAGCTCCTGCTTGCCGAGGGATACACAAAGGCTGTGGATTGGTGGACACTCGGAGTTCTCCTGTACGAGATGTTAACGGGACTTCCACCATTTTACGATGAGAACACGAATGAGATGTACCGGAAGATCCTCCAAGAGCCACTTACTTTCCCAAGCCAGGATATTGTTCCGGGTGCGGCGAGGGACCTTCTTACTAGACTACTCGAGCGTGATCCGAACCGTCGTCTTGGAGCAAACGGTGCCGCTGAAATCAAAGCACATCACTTCTTCTCCAACATTGATTGGCGCAAGTTGCTTCAGAGAAAATATGAGCCGAGCTTCCGCCCTGATGTGGTATGTTTCCTTTTTTTTTTTTTTTTTTTTTTTTTTGGGGGGGGGGGAGGGGGGGGTGGGGGGAGCCTCTCGACATTCAATACTTCCTCCCTCATCTTCAATATAACCCTTTCTGGGCCTATGCAGAGTTCTAATAATATGACAGGTTGATGCCCGTGACACCAAGAATTTCGATCGCGAATTCACGTCCGAAGCTCCTGTAGACTCGTACGTCGAGGGTCCTGTTCTATCTCAAACCATGCAACGACAGTTCGAAGGCTGGTCCTACAATCGCCCCGTTGCTGGCCTCGGCGATGCTGGAGGGAGCGTGAAGGACCCATCTTTCGGAAGTATCCCTGAATAATCGTTCCCCTGTTTTCAACTCCGATGTTGACCTGATGGAAGAACAAGAGATCTTCAACTATCTGTTTTCTTTAACCTCCGTCTTCTCGCCCCGTGTTCTTTTGACTCTGGAAGTTCAAACACAGTTAACGAATCTCTTATGATTTTGCTTTGACTGGATTGTTTTCACTCGTTATCCTGTTTCTTACTACTCGCCCCCTGTTCATGTCTGTTTTACTTCAATTTTTCCTTTGCAGTGTTCATTCGCCCAACTATTTTCCATTTCTGTTCTTATTTCTTTTTTTCATTTTCATTTTTTTCTTCTACTTTCTTGATTGTCCCCTCATTGCGCGGAAAGTACCTATCAGTTTCCTCTTGTTTTACTTTCAATTTCACTTTTCATACTTCGTTATTTCGTTTCATTTCAAATCCGAATATCTAGATTTCTAGATCTCCCTTCCTTTTCATAACCCTGATATCTCTCACTCCTCCGTGTGTTTGCCGCAATATACATACAAGTGGCAGACACCTCCATTCACGTTTTATCTCTCTCTCTTTTTTTTTACTTTTTTGTCCCAAGATTTTTTTTTTCAAGTTTTTTTGATTTATCCTGCAACACACAAGGCGGTCGAGCGAGTTGTGTTCACACATCTATTTGTTTGAGATCTCTTTTGTTGTCTATTTGCTTTTTCTTTTCTTCTTTTCTTTCTAGTAGGTGTGTTAGACACAATATACCACAATTAAACCAGAAAACTTAAGTCAAATTGACTTATATATTCTGTGAATATATTTTCAATGTCAGATAGATACCATTTTCTGCGTCTGTCTGTCTTTTCTTTTTTTTTCCTTTTTTTTTTTTTTTTTTTCATTCCCCCTTCTCCTGGTTTTATCTGGTCTGGTCTGTCTCCATACTATCTTTTTTCCTTTCACCAACTTATTTTCCTTTCTCGTTAGCGAAAAGGAATGTTAAATAAAATATAAAATAAAGAGTCAGACGTCAAGTTCCAACATATGTATGTATATCTCAAGACATAGATCACCCACTTTACTTAGTCTCAGAGAAGGTGTAGAAGAAAGCCCCCAACCGCCTCATGGCCATGTCACTCCCTGGCATATACAATGTTAACGTGTCCATCGCAATAGGGCGTTCACAGCAATCTGCTTCTTCCCCTTCCTTTTCCTTCCCTTCTCCAACCAGGAGTATAAATACATAAGGTATGTTTGACTCAAGCTTTCTCACCCCGTGTACACTTTGTGGCCCGGTTGAGGGTCCCTTCATCGGTTGGTAGTGGTATAATTCTCTTTGTAGTGGGTCAAATGGTGAAGAATGAGGGCATGCTCGTTATCTATATCTTGCAAAGACTAATGTAGCGAAAAGGCGAGGCAAAATAGTAGCTATATATGATTGTGCAAGTTTTCTTCTGCTTAGCTTGGGGAAAGGGATGTTAGGTAATAGGGCCCTGTTGCTAGGATGACTTTTTATGTAACTTCTCTCACGCTCGCCGTTTACAAAAAAGGTGGAAAAAAAAAGTATAAGGAAGGTAAAGGAAGATAAGGAAAGCAAGAAGGCATAAAGAAAGAAATAAATAAATATGATGGGAAGAACATGGGGAAATGTACCATTTTTTTTTTTGACTTTACGCGTGGCTCTCCCTAACTGTAATAGATATGAAAAGGATAAAATTAAATTAACAAATTGGAAATAAAGAAAGATAGAAAAGGGCGGACGGAGTGAAGAAAGGGGGGAGAAGAAGAAAAGACCTCATTCATTTTACCCTTCGTTGCAAACAACAAAACGACAACACTAGCAGCAAAAATTTATATCCTTTACTCCCTTTATTCCGAAACGCCATTGACTGCCTCCGCCTCACCATCACCACCACCAACTTCCTCCACTTCATCATCGCCATTAATATCAATCAAATCCACAGACTTAACGCCTCCCTCCGTCTCCAATCTCAAATACTCATCCCACTCCGGAAACAACTCGTCATCCGTCTCAACCCCTTCGATTCCAGCCCCAGGTGGAATCCCAATAATCCTTGCCACCTTCGTCTTACCCTCTTTCTCCAAACTCTCCTTCCACTTGGCTGCAAGCTTCGCGGCGCGGCTGGGCTTATACGTCTGCGCGAACAGCACAGCTTCCGTGATCCGATTCGTCCGGACAAGGAGGTCGATGCACGCATCGACATCGCCAAGTTGTAAGAGCGCGGAGAAGGCGACGTTATGCGAGCCTGCTGAATCGGCTTGCTCGGCCAAACGGCGGAGACCGTCGGTGTTGCAGCTAGCGGTGTGCAGGAGCAGCAACGAACCTAGATCCTTGGAGTTGGAGAAGCATTCTTGAGCCAGGGCGAGATCCCAGGCGGCCATGGCTGCGTCACCGACGATTTTCCATTTGTGCTCGACGTCAGCGGCGCGCGCAATTTCGAGGGCGATGTCGAGCTTGTTGAGAGCTAAGGAGAGTTCGAAACGGTGTTCCTGGTCCGTGGCGACGTCGAGGGCTAGTTCCTTGTTACCCTGTCCCTCGAGGAAGCGGGCGATTTTGTTCATTTGGTCGGCAGGGATGTCTTCGAGGAGTTCTGCGGCGGAGTCCATGTCACCACGGAGTACGAGGGTTTGGTATTCGACGACGGCGAGGGAGAGGGAGAAAGAGATTACGTTTACATCCTTGTCGGCAAGATAGATGCGTCCGTCTCGGGGCAGGTAGCCAAGGAGATACATTGGTTGGTCGAAGTGGGAGATTGTGTAGGTTTGGTCGCCGACGAGATAGTTTAGGCGGTTTGTGGAGTTAGTGTAGATGAAGCAATCGCCAACCCATTCGCCTGTCCGGACGGATTCGCTGACGTCTGTAATTACTTCGAAAGCAGCTTCGACCCCATCCTCGTCAGCTTCGCCGCTGTTGAGGCCGGCAATGTAATTCTCGCGGGAGAAACGGAGGACGTAGAAAGCATCATCGCATGCAAGAGTAACTAGTTCTCCCGATTCAGACCAGTATACCTAGGGATAAATAATGTTAGATACTCGCTGTAATCATGTAATTGCAATGAAAATGGCTCGAGAAACCTACAGCTCGAGGATCCACTTCTATTCTCCTCACGAGTAAACCAGTTTCCCAGTCAAACATCCCGATACCACCTTGGCCCTTGACTCCCAGCAAAACACCACCTGTTAGGCCTTCAGCTTGGAATCCCACATCGAGACCTCCGCTTTTCTCCTTGAAGTTGCGGAAAATCTTGACGCTGGTACTAGACTCCCGAATCGCATAATCATTGCTATTATCCTTTGAACCCCAGGCGAAGTCTAAAGCCTGTCCAAAGGCTTTATTTCTCCATGCAAGTGCAGTGTAGATAATGTATTCGCCATCTCCGCAGACAGAGACGAACCGCCCATTCGAAGAGTGGGTGAGTGTCTGCGGGTATATTTCGCAGGAACCGAGTTCCTTCGTCGGGAGCGACAAGGGGGCGCCGTCTTTGAGAGTTGCGTCACCACCCTTGATTACGGTTGACACGACTTCGTTGTGTCTCGCCCAAACCAGCTTTCCGGACCCATCCATGGAAACAGCAGGTTCTTCACGACCCATCTTGACAACAACAGCTCCATCGTCAAAACCCATGGCAATGCCTTGTTTGCCACGTTGGTAGCTAACACACCATGCACGCTCCAGGCCATAGCTCAGGGATTGCTCTAGTCGATATGTGTTGGCGTGCCAGATTTTGATGGTTCCATCTTCCGAGCCGGAGATAATGACAGGCAACTCTGGATGGTAGCACGCGAAGGAAACATTGCTAGTGTGGCCCTCTAACGTAGCTATTAGCGCCTTTGTGGTGTAGTCCCAAACTTTTACAGTCTTATCATCGGAAGTCGTCAACAGGTACGGCTTATCCGCTTGTGGGTAATAATCAACGTGATTAACCCCCTTCGTCTCATGGGCCTCAAGTGTGAAATTCGCATGCGGTGAGCCCAGACTCCATATCTTTACCGTCCGGTCAAGACACGCTGAAGCAAATGTATTTGTGTCTTTCGGGTTGATGGCCAGACCCATGACATAATGGTTGTGTCCCTCAAAAACCTGAACGCATTTCCATGCCTTGTCCCAATCCCACAGCTTAATCGTCATGTCATCGGAAGCGGTGAGTACGAACGGTTGGGTCGGATGGACGACAATAGACCGAATGTAATCTGGATGCGCTTCGAAGGATGCGATCTTTTCGGACGTGTTGTAATTGTAGACGCGGAGTTGGAAGTCATCGGAACCGCAGACAATCCAATTTTTTCGCGCAATGAATCGACCGGCTCGGACAGGGACGTCGGTAAGCTCAAATGTTTTAATTATAGACTGAATTGGAGGTTAGCATCACTGGAAATAGCCTCTGCTTGGGGTGTGTACGCGCCTGTGTTTCGTAAGACCATATATAAACATGACCTGTGTGTTCCTCCAGCGCATCAGTGATGAGACCTTCCACCACCCGTTTAGGAAACAATGGCTTACCGCTATACAATGTAGTTAAAATCTAATAGCAAATAAGTTAGAGAAACGTCCCCTGGCAAGCATAGAGAGTATTGCACTTACCCATGGCTCAGTCGGGTGAAAGTCAATGCCCTTGACCCTCTCCGACCGGGCGAACAGTTGTCGCTAGCATAGAAGATAACGTCAGTCCCAATTTGTACCATTCAAAACTACCCTTTCGCAAGCCAGTAAATATGTAATCCTTCGAAGACCATCATTCCACGCACCTTCACATCTAACCGCATGGTGGGCAACTTTCCCTAAGTAGCTCTGTGGCGATAAGTGTGCCGCCCGCGAGCGGCTGTACCAAAGGGAACACCTGGCGATTAGGATATATTCCTAGTCGCTGGAACTGACGGAACAGTATCTTCCTAGATAAAATGTGTTGATAAAGCAACAGGACGCGGGGAATGATGCTGAAATTGATGCCGTCAGTACGTCGAAGTGCAACTTGTCCGTATCAATGTATGTGAGGTTCGACTTTCGGATCAGAAGTCCCACCACGCCTCCCAAGACGGTTAGCGCAACACAACGCCGGATTTTGGGCGGACGGCACAATAATGTCGATATAGACCAACGAAAGGAATACCTGGGTTAAATTTGATTATTCATAGAGTATATTGGAGATTCATAAAATTTATAAGAATATTATTGCACAACACAGGATATCTGGTGTTTCATGTCCGCCATATGCTGTAAACTCGATGCGCAAACGCCTATAGCCCAGGAAAAACGGTGCATAAGATTTGACATGCTCTGGAAAGATGGGGCTTCCGAAAATATTTAATATATTTACAGTAGTCAACATAAAATTTGATTAGAACAAAGCGATTAAAACTCTCTAAACCCTCTAGGACCCCATACTATGAGCTAGGTCGATAAATGAAATTGCCAAAAGGAAAACCGCCAGGGCCTTTAGCTTGCATCACTGCCTCTCTCTCTGCCAAAATATGTCCATTGGCCTGGCTTCGGGTTTTCTACCAGCTGTTCCCATCTACACACGAATAGGAATCAGTAAAGAGACAATTCCCTGACCGTATTTCTGTTATTGCAAGGGCGCACTTACACTTTAAATTTGATCATATCATCTACAAGTTTTAGCTCCCCTTCCGCAACTTCGATAACTTCCTCTATCAGACCTGCTCCAATCTGGTTTTCAATTTCGGAGATCCTATAAAATCTAATTAGAACAGCGGATCCAAATAAAAAAGGAGCGGAAGATAAAGACGGGAATTGGATTGACACTTACTGCGCCGCTTCCAAAGCTGGTTCATCATATAAATCAATCCGGGGTTCGGCTGCAGCAGGCTCCTCTTTATTTTCAAGCTGTTCAGTCTCTTGTTTTTCCTTCGACCACCGTGTCACGGCAGGCTTCACTCTCTCTGGCAACTTCTCGAACTGCTCCTCTTCCTCCTTTATTTGGCGCAACGCATTCTCCATGTTCTCGGCATAGTGTCGCTTTTCAAGTTCCGACACCCGGCCGCCCAATGGCGTGTAGACTGCCGCAAGACCACCACTTGGAGTTGACATGGCTTTGACCAGGTCTGGGTTTGCTGCGACTTTCTGTTGTACTTCCTGGTGCCATTTGTCGTAGCCGGGCGGTTTGGTGGATTCGACGATCTTCAATCGGTGTTTTGTGAGGGCTTCCGTGGCTTGGCGGTAAACGGACGACTCAGGGATATTCTGGAGTTTGTTCAAAGTGTTTGTGTATAGGATGAGGAGAGCCTGTCGGGGTCTTGGGTGGGTAGTGAGGCCGGTGAGGCCGGTGGGTGCATGGGGTTGGAGGTATCTGGCAGACTTGACGTTTGCCAGCAATCGTAGAGAGGACCTCATGATGGGGATGTATATGAGGACAATGCCGATTAAAAAGGATACCCGGCCCAATTGCTGTCGACAACAAGCGTGCTGACGTTGTTCTCGTGGTCGCTGGCGTCTGTGATTCCAACTTCCGCGCTCGAAAGGCGGCGATGGAACCAGGAATATTAGTTTCTCCGGTTGCGGTGCTACTTCCAAAAAAAGAACACCGCGAACTTGCGGCTCAAACAACTTCCAAGGTTTCTTTTAAGGGGGACTCGACGAGACGACGACGAAGGATCAATCTCACGCCAGGTTTCGTCCGCCGCTCTTCAACTCGGCGACTACATCCATAACAAGCCTCTGTTGCGACTTTAGCTACTTGGACAGATACTCTCGCAGCCTACATGCTCCTCAGTGCCATTCTGAACCAAGCCAATCAGCCTCCTATCTGGCCAGAACCAGCCCCGATCCTATATCTTCCAACTCCTTCATTAAGAGAACGGCGACTCATTGACAACAATTAACTCTATTTTGAAAAACATCTAAATATTCGCCAGCTTCTGCAGTGATCTGGGGATAGATTAAGCTCTGGTCCTGGGGCCCGTTTGGCCTTCAGCCGCGTAAAATGAAGACCTCACTCTTTGCTTGGTCATTACTCTCTCTGCTGCTAAAACCCGTTATCGCTACGTCAACGGGCGGGTCTGGGTCTGAGGATGTTTCGATACAAGCGCCACGGATATTCTCCGGAGCGGAGAATCTAACCGGTCCAGATGAAGGCCCTACAGTCTTTAATGGAGTCGAAGTTCCCCCGATGAAGCAACTCAATGCGTCCACTTTTGATGAAAGTATTCAGGAAGGTTACTGGTACGTCTCGTGTCTTTACTCTTTATTACTCTCTATATTATTTCATTTGCTGTTATCTTGGGAATATATATGTGTGTGCGCGTGTGTCTGACAATGCTGTAGGTTTGTGAAGCATTTCTCCCCATATTGTGGGTATTGTATTTCTATCGCACCAACATGGCAAACGTTATACGAATTCTACTACGTTAGTATTATTCCACCCTCTTCTAAGGAATATGATCACTAATTGCATGTAGTCCTCGAATCCCCTCTCAACCTCAACATCTAAACAAACGCAAGACCCAGTTTCTTCCCTTAACTCCTTCCAACGCTTCTACGATTTCAATTTCGCTGCCATAGACTGCATTGCCAACGCAGACAAGTGCCGGGCCCTCAAAATCAACGCCTTCCCTATGTTTATACTTTACCACAAAGGAGAGAAAATGGAGACATTTACCGGCAAGAAGTCAATGGAAGGACTGAGCAAGTTTATTGAAGATAAGCTCGAACAAATTAAGCCTGGCTCAAGGCCTCGGAATGGCCTGCAGCTACCAAAACCTGGCGATACCAAGGTTGATACTTCTACCGCCCCCCTTAAAATAGGAGGAAAACCCGAAGATAAACCCGAAGATAAACCGCAAGATAAACCATCAGCCAAGTCCGAACCACCGGAGGAGAAGAACCAGCCCGCGGTGCCGAAAAGGCCCAGTGGACCGGTGCCCAACCCTCAAGGCAAATCGATATCACTCACAGCCGAAAGTTTCCAGAAACTCGTTACAAACACTCATGTTCCATGGTTTATCAAGTTCTATACACCCTGGTGTAGTCATTGCCAGGCCATGGCTGCATCTTGGCAGCAGATGGCTAGGGACATGAAAGAAGTCCTAAATGTTGGTGAAGTTAACTGTGAGACGGAACGACGCTTATGCAAGGATGCTCGTGTCGGATCTTTCCCTACCATCTACTTTTTCAGAGGTGGGGAACGTGTTGAGTATAACGGACTCAGGGGCTTGGGAGACCTGGTCAACTACGCCAAAAAGGCCGTGGATGTTGTTGGTAACGGCGTTCAATATGTTGATGCTGACGCTTTTAAGAAAATGGAAGAAACTGAGGAGGTTATTTTCTTATACTTCTTCGACAAGGCCACTACATCAGAGGACTTTGCCGCTCTGGATCGGTTAACTCTGAGCTTGGTCGGGCGTGCAAAGCTTGTTAAGACTGACAGCGATGTCCTTGCCCAGAGATTCAGAATTTCCACGTGGCCTCGTCTTCTTGTCTCGAGGGGTGGAAAAGCCAGTTATTACAGCGCGCTCGCCCCCAAAGACATGCGAGATTTCCGACAGGTGCTCACTTGGATGGAAAGTGTCTGGCTGCCCATAGTACCAGAGCTCACCGCTGCTAATGCTCGCGAGATTCTTAATGGAAAATACGTAGTCCTCGGTATTCTCAGCCGACTACGCTCGGACGAATTTGTCCAGGACAAAAAGGAGCTGAAAAATGCGGCGCTTGAGTGGATGGATAAACAAACCAAGTTGTTCCAGCTTGAGAGGCAGGAACTTCGGGACGCGAAGGAGCTGCGTATCGAGGAAGCAGAAGACCGAAATGACCAACGGGCACTGCGTGCAGCGAAAAACAGGCAAATAACCATCCGAGAGAGTGACAAAAAGCAGGTCGTTTTTGCATGGATTGATGGTATCTTCTGGGATCGATGGATTCGGACAACGTACGGTATTGATGTGAAAAACGGTGAACGTGTTATCATCATTGACGAAGATGTAAGTTTTTACTCTATATTTGCCCTTCTTCACCCCTGAGAATTCACTTGTAGTATCCCAATTTTCAATTCAACGGATCCATTAGACATCCAAAAGCTGACTCTTGCCTTTTTCAAACGAACCAGAACCGTCGGTACTGGGATACCACCACTAGTGGTGCCTACATAATGCCAAGCCGAACCTCTATCCTCGAAACCATCACTCAGGTCGTCTCGCCATCATCTAGGCTCAAGGCGAAATCCACCGTCGGCATCTTCGAAAGTATGTACTTCAGCACGCGCTCCTTTTACCGCAACCACCCTATCCTTTTTATTGCCATGTTCTTCGCTGCTTTGATATTTGCGTACCTCTTCACGAAGGGTAGACTTCGAAAAGGCAGGGGTGCTGGAGGCCTCCTAGGTGCAGTCACTGGTAGCTCAGGGGGTGGATTCTTCCACCTTGATGGAAAGGAAGGGCTACTTGGTGGTGGAAATGGATCGGGGAAGGTCGACTAGCCTGTATTCACTCTTTGTTTGTTTCCATTTTTTATCTTTTTTTTGCTTTTGTTTTACTACATCTTCCTCCATTTTTTATTGAATTCCATTGACTTCAATTCTCTATTCTCACCTTTCCTAATTTTCCCACTTTCATATTCTTTTTTTCATGTAATACTGTTGCTATTTTGGTTTTTGACCAGTCTCTTTTGTTCCCCTTCGATCCCCTATACTAATATCATGTTATTCTTCAAACATGGCCTTTCTATTTCCTCCTTTGTTGCCACCTTCGCCTGTCATCGTTTATATTTATTCTTTTTTTGGTATTTCCTTTTCTTGCTCTACATTTTTACCTTTTTTTTCACTATCTCGTTCTCTTTTCATGTTCTTCTTTTCCTTTTCATTTCCTTTTCCTTATATATATATAGCTTCAGCGGAGCATATGCGGTGAATCAAAATGTCTGCCAAGGCGGGTGGAAAGGAGGGGTTTTTCTTTTTCAACCATTACATTGAAATGAATTGGAATTTAGAAAAAGAAAGGGGGGAACATTGCAAACAACCAAAAAAGTAATCATAAACATTAAACAAGAATCATGTACTAAGAAGTTGATCCAGCATTCCGTCCACCCCGTCAATAAGTTCAAGGTTTCGCTTCACCGTTTCCCGCACCCCCATAGACAGTGATAACCCAAATTGCTTCCCAATAATCAGACATTCCACGAGAGCTTTGAACGCCCGCTTTCGCGAGAGTCCTTGTTGTTGTCGGGGTATCAGCACACTCACTGTTTCCGGTATCCCTTCGCCGATCAACCATCTATGGGAGTCGGGGTCATCCTGGCAGAGGATCAGACATGACGCTGGTGGGATGTTGAGGAGCCGGTCCTGCCCCTTCTCCCGCGAGTGCTGAGCGATCTTGAAGATGGCAGAGAGGAGGAGGAACAATCTGCGGGAATCCTGACATTTGTTGATGGCAGCAAGCTCATTGGCGCATGCCTCGCTGGCGTCGCTGAAGAGCTGTTCCTCATAGCTGCCGCCGATATAGTGTTCGAAATATTCCGTGAGGACCGTCGAGAAGTACTCGATGGGCCGTGGATCCTTGCTAGCGAGGATGGCGAGGTGCGTGCTGAACATGACCACCACCCGATCCACCGTGTCCGCCCTGTTGCCGGCGCGAATGGAGGCGTCGAGATCGATCAGGAACTGGCGAACGCCGTAGTCCAGTGACTCCTCCGTGCCCCTGTGGTAGGCGAGGGAGGCGAATTGAGAGAACGTCCTGCCCGAGATATCTACACCTTCTCTCCATCGGGATTTGGCCGATGCGAGCATGACAGACGAACCTACCAGGACCCCGATTACCAATAACGCCTCTAGATCCGCAGTAGAGACCACCTCAAACACCCGGACCGAGAGCCCCGTCATGGCCTCTAGGTCTCTGGGATTCCTAGCCTCGACCAACTGGTTGCCAAAGCTGCTGAATGACTGCGCCCATTTTCGCAATCTGGCCGTCTCGTTATTCTTCACGAGGTCTTGCAGAACCTCCCAGCGGCCAACTGACCAGTGTCTCACGTACAGCGCAACCAGTCTAAAGATAGGTTTGTACCTGAGTGAGACGGTTAGGATCTTGAGCGTGAGGTCAACCAGTCTCGATTGATTATCATATCGCGCAGTAAAAAGCATTTCCTGAAGTTCCAGCAACTGTTTCACGCGCTCTTCCAGTGGATCCATCGGCCCCTTCAGGGCGGCGACACCTGGTGGTGTAGGTAATTTATCAACCCGCGCACCGTGCTCGAGCAGTAACTTGACGATATCTTTGGAACTGGCCTGGATGGCTCGGATCAATGGCGTGTCCCCGTAGCTACCTTTGGCCTCGATCCGGGCGGACCGATCTAGTAGTAGAGACACGACATCCTTGTGCTCTCCAGTGACTGCGATATGGAGCGCGGTCAATTTGTCGCGGTCCTTAGAATTTATGTTGGCACCGTGCTCGAGTAGCAACTCCACCACGTCTCTGTGACCGCGCGTAGCAGCCCAGAAGAGGGGTGTGCGCCCATAAGAATCCTTTCGCGAGGTGCGACGGCGGAAGGGAATGCCGGCGGCGGCAGAATGCTTAAGCAACATCTTGGCCCAGGCCAAGTTGCCAAAGTACGCCGCTAGGTGTAGAAGCGTGAACGAGGGCGGAGCTCCGCCGTACTGCTCCCGATCCCAGTAGAATTTCCACCAATCCTCCCGCACCGGCGACTCAGCTCGGAAGAACTGGCTTGAAAACTCAAGCTGGGCCTCGACCGAGTCGAACGCCTGTCGGAAATACTCTGGCCAGTAGAGGCTGGCATAGGTCAAGAGGCTATTGTGGAGGGAGGCGTTGCTGATACTACCAGGAGATTTGTAGCTCCCTTCAATGAGCCCGAGGCAGGTACGCATAAGAGTCTTATGCGATTTGTGATTCATATGGAAAACGTTGATCCCGTCGATATTGATCTGGTCGCTCTGGAAGAACTCTCTCGCCGACTCATGGACGAGGTTGACCACGTCTCCATCGATTTTCACCAACAGCCCACAGGACGCAAGCCTATCCTTCAGGATTTCGGCTGGCGTCAGGGCATGAAACGCCTTGATCTCCGCCGCCATTGCTAGTTCATCCACGGTCATGGGTCGGGCGGCGAGAACGATCCATTCAAGGATGGGGACCAGGTTTTCTTTGTCTTCGACTTGTTGCAGCAATCGCTGATAAACCCCAACAAGGTCCTTGGGCACACCGCGAAGTATGTGGTTGATTTGAAGCCAATTTTTGCCCTTGAGCTCATCCGCGACAAACCCAACCCACAAGAAGGTTCCCTCCGCGCTGGCCATCAAGGTCTGGCTAACTTGACGTAGCCTATCCTCCGATAGGATATTCTCGGCTGCCAGCTCGGCAACTTTGGCCGAGATGTATTTCTCAACATCTTTTTGAATCTCCACGTCCGAGTCATCAAGTTTGATCCGAGGGAATCGGTGAAGTTTGCTTTTTAAAGGTCCAGGCTGCGGGCGGGAGAGGAGGATGACCTTTAGGTATGTGTTTGGTTTCGCCTCGGAGTTCGAGAAATATTCACTCAAGACGTCAAGGAGCTGCTTGAGAGATTCCTCCTCGCACTCATCTAGGCCATCAAGCACGCATACCACCTGCGGTGCGTCGGTGTGGTTGAGAAGGCTCAGGAAGAGCTTCCAGAGGCAGATAAAGTTAGAAATAGTGTATTTGGTCGTTTCGGACCCATCAAAGAAGTTCTGAATATGTTGTGCTAGGTGGGGATGGAGACTGAGCCATTGGTGCAATAGGCCTCGCATGATCGTCATGGCCGAGTTCCTGTTCTTGTCACGGTTACTACAGAAGTAGTAAAGGAGAACACCCTGAGCGTCGTCAACCACCGACTCCAGTTCCTCAGTGATGTAGATGGAGAGGATAGTTTTCCCTTTTCCCGGCCCGCCTGAGATCCAGAGGAGCGGCGGATCAGTTCCTTTCAGCCACTCTTGATAGTGATCATGTCGTAGCAGCCATTCGCAAGTACCTGCTACTCTCCGCCCCTTCAATGCGATCAGAGAGCTCCGGTCAACCTCGGGTCTGGTCAGGAGTAAGGCATCGAGAACACCGGCAACCGTCGAATCCGTGATAGATGCCAGCGGCGGTGGCTTCGGGGCAGGGGGCATCAAAGACAGGAGCTCCTTCGCATAGGCAGCAGCGGCACCAGCGGCGTACCCCTGCCAGACCTTAGTTTTGTGCGAATCTGCATAATCGCAGATTCCCCGGATGACCAGGCATTGGGCGATGTCCATCAAGCCGGCCGCCTCCATCTCAAAACAAAGGATCCCATGCTCGCGCGCCAACTTGTCCCGTGTCCCGCCATGTCGCATCACCTGGTTGCCAGACGCAACCAGACCATAGTGGACTTTCGGGTTCTGCGACCCTCGCGGCGGCCGGTGGAGGAGTCTAGCGGGGTCGCACTGAGTGCACGTACCATCATCTCCGAGCGCCGCGACGTGGTCGTAGTTCGAGTCGAAGAGGGCATCCTGCTCTGAACCGGGATGGGCGAAGACGAGGGGATCCTTCTCGACAATCTTGTGGATGTAACGGGGAATCTGGCTCTCGCCGAGGATATTATTCGTCTCGACCTTTCCCGCGGCCGTGAGGAGTAAGGTAGACGGTTTATTCAACGCGCCTGTACTAGTGAACTGGCCCTCTCCAGTTTTCTTCCCGAAATCATACTGAATAATCCCCGGCCGCGCCGCCGACGGCCTGCTCACTACAATATCACCAAGCCGAACATCCTCCTTCGTACTCGGTACGCCGCCCCCGATGCCGACCATCAAGCTGAAGCGGATGGACTTGAAGCTCGCGAGCATCTGCGCCGCGACGGTTGCGGCGGAGGTGGTCCCATATACGCCGAAGGGCAGGCATGCAACCACAATGTTATGTTCGTTGAGGCTTCCCAGAACATACGAGTTGGAGTCATTCAGACTTGGATCTGCGGGCAGATCGGCGTGGATGTGATCAAGTACCGCCTTCGCCGCTGCCATCTCCAGGGGAAGGGCGCATATCCAGCCGACGGTGTAGTCATCTCGGGAGGCCATTTCTGAACAACGGCCGCGCAATGCAGTTGCAGTTGCAGTTGCAACGCAGGTATCGATGGCGAGGCACTGATTGGCAGCAGCTCGGGGTTGGGGGGGAATCTACGCGACGAGATCATTCTTTTGCGTGGTGTGTTTAGGGAAGGGGGAGAAAAAAAAAAAAAAAAAAAAAAAAAAAAAAAAAAAAGTGCAGGAAAAGAGAAAGAGGAGAGGGGAAGAGAAGGAGGCGGGCAGCGCTCGGGAAGCTAGGGGGTTAGGGGGAATCCCATCGCATCCAGCATCTAGGTCGGGCGGGTTGATTCTGACACTATTTTTAGCTTTAAAGCCTAGTAAATGTAGAAGCACTGGCTCTCAGCCTTGGAGCAAGCCCGGGCCGGCCCTAGGTCCACCTATCCAGAGCGGGTTGCAAGCACCAGTGGTTGATCAACGAATGGAAAGCGCCCGATAGTATTTTCATGCTGGGTGTTATAAATTCACCCGATCTTCGAAGAGTTTGAGAGGCTGCAACGTGAGGTTCTGTTCTGGGAGGCGTATATCCCTGTATTGTACTCGTCTATTTTTATGTTCTGACATTGTTTTGTTCGTCTTGTCGACGCCTGGAAACGTTTATCAAGAGTGTTGATGATATCAACACGATGTCTGGCTGCTGCTGCTTTCTGGTGCTAATGAAATCTCATTTTCAGCCTCCAGCAAATAACCTCTCGTTATACCCATCAACAGCAGCCACCATGAAGGTGCGCCGTTGTAGCAAACAAACATTTGGAGAAACCTTCAATACGGAGTCATCAAGTTTCGGTAAGTTCTCTTCAGCCTCATCCCGCTGCTGACTCATCACCCCGGAACCTTAACTGAGCCTCCAAACCTTAAACAGACTTTCTCCAACCGCCAGGAACGAAACTATCAAATACGGAATAAATAGTTAACTACTCCGTAACTTATCATTGATTCTAATTTTGAGAAAACCCGCCCAGGAAACAAACTCACCAGCTGTATGAACAACGACGTGTCCAGCGCTAATGATAACCGGGCGGTGCTGACTGGTCTTCTTCACAGTACGCCAGACGAAAAAAAAAGGGAAGAAAGAAACCAGGATTCTTCACCCTTGCTGGAATAGGAAATGGTGCCCTGGTTGATTTGTAAATCCCATCATCATACTTGTGGAGGGAGATACTGGTTGGTCAAAAAAAGAAGGCTGCCGTGGCCCCCAAAAAGCCCCATCCAAGCGGCATCGCTGGGCATTATCATTGAATATTATGATTGGATCTCAGGCCAGCCGCCGCGGACTCGCAACGGCAACCCCCGTCTGGGCACTGTATATGGGGCCGGCGACCAATCACTTAGCGTTCTTTGTCACATTCCAACATGTCAACAACGCAGCCTTGTGGGTGAAAACGTGAGGGCTGGTGATAGGAGCAACGCCCCGAATTTATTTGTTGAAGGACGTCCTTTCTTCTCTTCTTCTTTTACTTCTTTTTCTTCTTCTTTCTTAGCCTCATGTGTTCCGTCGTATACGGTGCGTGTTGTTTCGCTCTTCACTCTGCTCGCCACACCCCAGTAAACTAACAAAGATACCAGATTCGCAGTAATAATCTATAATCTCCAAGCTCCCCCACTCATGACTCTCTACCAACGCCTCTCACCCGCCCGCAGCGAGGGGGATCGGACAGGTGGCAGCAAAGGTACCACCCCGCTCAAACAACAAAATCCCGCCCAAAAACCCCAGCTCCTACGCGCCAGCGAGCTACCATCCTGGTACGCACACAATACCTACCTCCTCACCGGCTACCGACCCATCACGGGCTCCGTGCGCCTGTGCATCGACAGCCTGCGCACCCTGCACAACGAGACGGTCAACATCTACTCGCACCTGCTCCCTGCCGCGATCGCGCTGGCCAGCAATGCGATTCTGCATCTGTATTTCCGCGCGCGGTATCCGGACGAGGCGGTACTGGCGCTGCAGCACCGGCTGGCGGTCCACATCTACCTGACGACGTCGGTCTTGTGTTTTGGGATCTCGTCTGCGTACCACACGCTGCTGTGTCATTCGGAGGAGTATGCGGGGCTGTGGGGGAGGATGGATTATGTGGCTATCCTACTGCAGACGATCGGGTCGTTTGTGTCGGGGATTTATGTTACGTTTGATTGCGAGCCGGGGTTGAGGCGGGTGTATTGGACTATGGTGGGATTCCCTTGCCCTTTTCTCCCTCATCCCCCTTTACCCCGTTTCTCGTGACTGTCGTGAGCATTCCTTGATTAACGGAGAGGGTGGATGGATATCCGGACGGTAGACTCTCGCACTGGGAACCCTATCCGCCATCATCGTCGTGAGTCCCAAGTTCCAAAGCAGCCGGTGGCGGATGCTCCGGCTCGCCACGTTTGTCGCAACGGGGCTGTCGGGATTATTGCCCATCATCCATGCCGCGTGCATATATCCGTATGCCGAATGGAGCCCGCGGGCGGGTTTGGGCTACTACCTGCTCGAGGGCCTGGCGCTCATTGTTGGCACGCTCTTCTATGCGGTGAGTTACAGCCAAACAATGAAACAAAGAACCAAAGAAACAAAGAAACAAAGAAACAAAGGAGGGGAAAGGAGGCGTGATGTTATTGAAAACCCCGCAGCTAATGGCAGCAAAATGGGTATTTTTAGACGCATTTCCCCGAGTCGTGGACGCCGGAGAAGTTCGATATCTGGGGGGCGTCTCATCAGATTTTCCACCTGTTTGTGGTGCTCAGTGCCGGAATCCATATCTGGACGCTTTTCAGCGTGTTGGATTGGATCTATGCGAATCCGCGGTGCGTGATTTGAGGGAGTTTTCTAGGGACAATAATGAAAAGATTAGATTAGACTATGGTTAAGATTTGGATAGCAGCAGCTGCTTGGATATAGACTTTGACTTTTTTGCACCGGTGGGGAAGGGTGTTCTTTCAAGCCCCTTTGTTTTTTCCCTTCCGTGTCCATTTCTGCGTCATTTGTTGGGGTAGTTAGTCAGACTCATTCATCTACGCTGTAGAGAGCTGCATATAGAGGTTATTATTAGCAAAGGAGGAGGGCTTGGGAAACTAGATCAGGATATTATCAACCTCGCCAACCGGCAATATTCATGCCTCAACTCGTGGAGTTTCTGCATTGTATTCAGCGCGGGGGTTAGTGGGCGGGCTGTCTGTCTATTCTTTCCATACCGGATCTCTCATGGATGATAGATAGAAAATGATCCGGGGAAACCAACCATTTTGCTGGTAACGCTAGGGTAGGGTAGAGCAAGAGATGTGGCGACAATCACCAAACCACCCATGAAAGAAGCACATGCACAGTCTTGCAGTGTAGCAGTCCTTTCATCCTGTGGTCAGTGGTTCACTGGTCTTGTCTGTTCCTCCTCCACACTGGTTGAGAGTTGAGACATACCCAGCCAAGTTGAACCAACCAAGAAGCAGCCCGCGAAAGATGATCGAGAGCGCAGCATGTGGAAGCTAACTTAGCGCTTGGCCGAGTCGACTCCAGTCCTGCCAAGAGCGCTGTTGGTCAAATAAGAATGTCTCCCCAGAGTCCTCACGCCGGGGGCCCCATTATCTTATGGCGGACAATAAAAATATTCGCTGCTGTCAGGCCTAACCCGCACAAGCCTCGGAGGTTGTGAGGGATGTTGAAGGCTGGTAACTTATCGTATATGTATTTAAAGTATCGCAGAGTAATAAGCGGTAACTCGATAAATACAGAGTACATAAGAGAGAAATATCTCTCCAGTCTCTTTCTCTTTCTAACCCCAGCGGAGGGGAACCGTGTATCGGCGGTACCAAACTCCACATTATGAAGGTATTTACTTGGGCCGAGGTTGAAGCGCTGCAAAAGTATAAAATATATAATATAACTACTAACGTTGTTATCATACTAACTATAACTATCATACTAATAAGAGCTTCAGAAATTCGCCGGCGCCCGATCCAGCCCGGTGTTAGTCATATATACATATATATAGGCATAAACATGTATGTACAGTATATACATGTACAGTATATACATGTATAGTACCTAGTTGCCTGCTAGAAGGTACCTAATCTCACTCGGGGGTGTTTTAGAGTAGTTTTCTAACCAGGGAATGACATTAACTTATTAGCTAGCTGATCTAAGAATTGTCGAAGAGTTCACTATTGTCATCCTCACCTCCATGCCACCGCTCCTCGAAGCAACATGCAACTCCATCAACTATAGCTATGTAGTATATGTATATATATCAGATAGCTAGGCGGGTACGGGGGCTGTAACAGTATTACCAGCGCCATGATTTATTACATCGCAATCCACTTACTGATTAGTTACTGACATGTGCTTTTCCTGCTCCATCTTCCACCGCCCCCCCGCCGCCTCCAGAAGAACCATTAACTATTTCTTTTCTTTTCTTCTCCGTTTTCTTTTCCGTCGCTCTCTTCTTCTTCTTCTTCTTCTTCTTCTTCTTCGTTGTCTGTCACATCATCTCTCTGCGAATCCCTCCAACAGTCTCTCCTATCAATCCGCTCGCTCCCTTCCTCCAGCTTGGGATAATTCGCCTCTCTCCTCCTTCCTCTCCGTCTTATAATTGCGACCATCCCCCCACAGTTTTATTTTATTTCTTTTTTTAAAAAAAAAGCTAAACGAGGCCACGCACACAAAAGAAACCACCGCTATGTTCTCGTCGAAAAGTCCAGTCGAGGTCAACGGCCTGGCATATGCCCAACCCCCTCCAAAGGGCACCCCGGAATCGGTCGCTCTCCCCGGCACCGAAAAGCCTGGACGCTCCAGGGTATACCGCCATTGGAAGGTTGGCAGTGGGGAACTAGTCAAGACGCTAGATCCTAAGGTATGTTCCGGGGGTGAGGCGGAGAGGGTGGATCTGAGATTATTGTCTGGGGGAGGGAGTTAAGTATATGCTAGGCTTAACTAACTATTTTGTCTGGCTTATACAGGTTCTCACTGGCCATGATATGTTCGAGTCAAGTGGTATGTCAAATTAAAATAAATTCTGTTAATAATACTAAGATATGTGTTTTTGTGTTATTTCTCCTGCTAATTCCCTACTCTTTGCGAATAGCCAACCGATACCCCAAGAACCACTGCCTCGGATCTCGTGCCTGGGACCCCGTTACAAAGACCTGGGGCGCGTACCGGTGGGTGGATTACCAAACCGTCAAGCAACGCCGTGCTGCTTTGGGTGTAGGCTTGGTCGAGCTTCATAACCGCGTTGGTGTTCAGGGGAAGCAATACGGTGTTGGCCTCTGGTGCCAGAATCGACCGGAATGGCAACTCACAGGTGTGTACCTTTTTTTTTTTTTTTTTTTTTTTTCTACTAAGTTCAATTCTGCTATAAACTGTTGCTAAAATAGGTCTTGAAATTTTTTTTAGACCTGGCCTGCATGTCTCAGTCACTATACACCGTCTCGTTGTACGAGACTCTCGGACCAGATGCTACGAAATATATCATTAACAACGCCGAGCTCACCTGTGTGGTCACTTCGCTGCCCCATGTTGCCACTTTAATCGAGCTGAAAAAAGAATTGCCGTCGTTGCAACTAGTCGTCTGCATGGATCCATTAGACGCTGGTGAACCAGAAGGCCACACCAAGCGAGACATCCTTGTGCCGCTAGCCGCCGCAGTGGGCTTGCAGATTTACTCCCTGTCCGAGGTCGAAGAACTGGGTGCTTCGTTGAACCGCCCTTACAACCCCCCTACCCCTAATGACATTATTACCATCAACTACACTTCCGGCACCACGGGCAATCCGAAGGGAGTCGTCCTCACCCACGGAAATGCCGTGGCCGGTGCCTCGTCCGGCTTGAGCACCTGCATGCACTACCCCACGGACGTCCTCATCTCCTACCTCCCCCTCGCCCATATCTTCGGACGTCTCATGGAACACATGATGCTGTGGGTTGGCGGCAGCATCGGCTATTTCCACGGCAACATCCTCGAGCTCGTCGACGACCTAAAAACCCTCAAGCCCACCATGATGGCCTCTGTCCCGCGCCTCTACAACCGCTTCGGCGGTGCCATCCGCGCCTCCTCCGTCGAAGCCCCAGGTTTCAAGGGCACGCTATCCCGACACATCGTGAATGCCAAAACCGCCAACATCGAGCGATCCGACAACCCCACCAACAAGCACATGCTCTACGACCGCATCTGGTCGAAAAAGGTCAGCGCAGCCATTGGCTTCGACCGCATGCGCAGTATGGTCTCCGGCTCCGCACCGCTCGACAAATCCCTCCACCAATTCCTCCGCATCGCCTTCGCCTGCGACATCATGCAGGGTTACGGCCTTACTGAAAGCTACGCAACAAGTCTCTGCCAAAGCTCGAACGACCTCACCGCAGGCCACTGCGGCTCGCTGCACGCCAGCAGCGAAGCGTGCCTCCTCTCACTACCCGACATGGAGTACTCTATCGACGACAAACCCTACCCGCGCGGCGAGCTCCTGCTCCGCGGCGAAAGCCTTGTTCAAGGAATACTACAAGAACCCCGAAGAGACCGCCAAGGCCATGACGGAGGACGGCTGGTTCCGCACCGGTGACGTCTGCCAGGTCGACCACCTAGGCCGATTCACCATCATCGACCGGCGCAAGAACCTGCTCAAGCTCGCGCAGGGCGAGTACATCTCCCCCGAGCGGCTGGAGGGGATCTACCAGACCGCATGCTCCTACCTGGCGCAGGCGTTTGTGCACGGCGACAGCGTGGAGACATCGCTGGTGGCGATCATGGGGGTGCAGCCCGATACGTTTGCGGCGTTTGCGGGCCGCGTGCTGAAGAAGGACATTGGGCCGGAGGATATGGACGCGATCCGCGCCGCGGCGGCGAATGAGAAGGTCGTGCGTGCCGTGCAGGAGGATTTGGATCGGGCGGGGAAGAAGTATAACCTCGCGGGCTTTGAGAAGGTGAAGGCTATCGCGTTGCTTGTGGAACCGTTCTCGGTCGATAACGGGTTGTTGACGCCAACGTGAGTTTTCTCTTTTTCTCCCCACATCCACCGCACCCGGTACTTCTTTGTGTCTCTGCTGTGTACAACATCATAACTAACATAATCATTTTTTGAAACAATAGCCTCAAACTCAAACGCCCCCAGGCTGTGCGCATGTACCGCGAGCTCCTCGACGAGCTATACACGCGGGTACCTGCGCAGAGCAATGGCCTAACCATCAACGCCAAGTTGTAACACCCCCCTCTTCGTACCACAATCGCAAAGCACAAACATAGTGCACAAAGCACAGCTCCCGTCTTGTATCGCCCATCCACTCGCTCTTATTCCTAACAAACGTGCCTCATCGCATATTTACGGGGGGAAGTTCGGTATATATATATCCCCCCTGCCTCATCATTCCGCATTCCGCTCACAACATAGCGTGGTTGCTCGGGATCGTGTTTGTGTTTGTGTTTGTGTAATGCCACACGCACACCATGCCACGCCACGCCACATAAAAACGTGTCATGATGTACAGAGTACACTGACAAAAGCTCTGTTTGGGTGTGATACATCATGTAGATATATATCTACTTTTCTTCCTACCCTTTTCCATTTCGTCTTATGTCTTATACATACATACCTGTCACATTCCATATTCTCCCCGTAGGCGGGTTGATATATAACATATATATATACCTACCTAGATTCATCAGTTTTTCTTTTGCTTTTATTTTTTCGGTTTTCGTGTTATTTATTATCATTTAGTTGAGTTCTTTTTTTCTCATTTTTCGTTTTCTCGTTTTTGTAATGTATATCTCGTTATCTCTTTTTCAGATGAACATATTTTGTGTCAATTGTATATATAAATATATATTACTTCCATATAAGGACGTGCATGCATATATAAACCCCGTACAGTACAGTACATACCTGTGTACTATAACTATACTACTCTACTACTATGTAAAACATGAAACGTCGGAGATTTTAAAATTCAAAACTCAGAAACAGAAAGCAGAATATCAAAGCCATGCGTGTCCTTCTAATAACAGTTATTATTAAGAACTAGACTCCGTAAACTTAACCCATTAATTAATCCCATCTCCAAGAAGAAAATTATATATAGCTACTAAAAAAGCCAGCAAGAAGTATCTATAGCACCACCACCACCTTCCGCACAATCCATCTACCAAGCTCACAATTGCTTTATCCAGACACGCGTTAAGAATAATTCCCACATCGCGCAAATTAGCTTCCTCTCTTTCAGGAAGCTCTAAATGTGTCATTCCGTAGACCGCCCTCTAGTCTAATTCCGAGAGTTTCTGCGCTAGGTGGGTGAGTTTATGGGATGCTAAAAGGCAGGAGTTATTCTACGCAAGAGCAGCTGGTGTGGATGTAATGCATTGCCGAACGGAACTTTTGTTGATATGGGGTAATTTATTCAAATTTGGCACTGGCTGGCTGGCTGACTGGCCTTTTAAAAAGGCGGTTAGTTATTATTGGGGGGTTGAGGCTGATATGACCGATAAATCTCCGCTGGGGGTGAGCTAAGCTTCGGACATGAGTAAACTGCACACCCCCAGGTTAGCTACTTCGGGAAAAACCAATTAGTTAGGGCTGCACATTTCCATACAGTTTCGCCTGTAGACATTGCACAAAGTCATACAGCCGCGGGATTGGTATATCGGGACAGTTGTCTTCCAGCCAAGCATAAGTGCCCGCCTCACATCGGACTCTCTCATCCGCATTTCCTAGCCGAAAAGCCTCACCAACATGATATGGAAGAGGAAGCCGAAGCATGACACGGTCTCCAGGCCGTTTCTTTCCTTTCTAATTGGCAATAGTAACTGGAATACACACATTGTAGCTTCCATGGAGCCAGTTCTCTACATCAACATCGCATTCATCAGGCGATTCAAGGTTCAAGTGATGGGCAATAATTGCTCTAACCCAGTTGCACCTCCTATGAAGAAGCGCGAAGAATTGTGATTCCTGGCTGGGATAGCTTAGGCGGTGAAGTATATTAACTTCTTTCTCATTTGCAGAAGAGTAAGTAATTTCCTCGCGAAGTAGACGTCGAATTACTGGCATGGTGAATGGACTTGCGGAGGAGAAAAGCGGGCTTTTCAGTTATTCAGGAAAAGAAGGGGTAAAACGCCATGATCGGTGCACTGGCATTCTAGTAAAAAGCCCGCAACACTCATCCCATGTTAATATCAATCATGGAGGAATGTTATCCTGTGTGCGTATTTGAAACTGGTCAACGGCAATCTATGAAGTTGGACTGGATGCACGTGACTAGAAGTAGCAAGACAAACAATGCAAACATCACCAACTCTGGACCGCCAATATATCATATATCAACTAATGTACGGAGTATGTAAATTTCGTTACCTCAACAGACAAAGCTGGGAACCAAGAGCCAGCCAGCCACTTCGCCTTGCTTCTGCCTCCCTTGTGCTGCCCACCTTGCCTAGCAATCATGCATCCTCCGCGATCGTCACATTTCTTTCTTCTCCTCCTCTCCCTCCTAACCTACGCCACCGCCTCCATTCTCACCATCACAATCCCGCCCTCGAACCTATTACCGAACCCCAATTCCCTCCCGGCCTCTACTCACGCGACCCTTACTACCCTTCGCTCCTATCCCTCCTCCCCTTCGTCTTCATCGGCCTCCGGAACTTCTACACCAGCGGGCCTACGCCTCAAAGCACCACTATCGCGTAAATCAAACTTCGTATTCAACATCCCCTCGGGACAGGTGCAGGGCTCGCAATCATTCCTCCTTGACATCCACTCGCGGGATTATATCTTTGCGCCGTACCGGGTTGATGTCGATGCGGATGGTAGCGTAGTGGGTGTGTGGGAGACGTACAGGGGGAACGCATGGGAGAATCGCGGGGTGGAAAAGGGCATGGTTCAGGTTGGGGAGGTTGCAGTCGTTGAGGCGAGGGTGATGGGGACGAGGGAATTTTATGAGGAAAGGGCTGGATGTAAGTTTCATTATATTCCTTTGTTTCATCGTCTTCTTTCAGAAAAAAAAAAAAAAAAAAAAAAAAAAAAAAAAAGTCTAAGTCGCCCGAAGCATTGCGATCAAGATTACTAATTGTATTTTTACACAGTTTCGCCGTTGAGCCTGTTCAAGAACCCGATGATTCTACTCGTGGTATTTGCTCTTGCTGTGACGGTTGGAATGCCTTATCTTATGGATATGAGTACGTCTGCCTTCTTCTGTTATTCGAAGCCCTTTCCACCCCACGAGTAATGCACAGTCAACTAATTAACCTTAAAAATAAAGTGGACCCAGAGACACGGGCGGAGTTCGAGAGACATTCCCGCAAAGGGCGAACAGCCGCGATTGGTGATATAAACGCAAAGGCAGGGGCGGGGGCTGGCGCCAATGCTATCCGCGGAGCGGGGCCTGGAGCCGGAGCTGGAGCCGGAGCGGGCGGGTTTGACCTTGCTGGTTGGATGGCCGGGACGAGTCAGGGACCCATGGCTGCGCTAGACTCGACAGTGAAAGCGGCTGCGAGCGGGAGAGAGGGCGGATCGGCGGCGCGGAGGAGGTGAGATGATGTATAAGAACCTTGCGTACAATGGAACTGGTGAACAAACCTAGAAAATTGGGGATAGATGTGTTATAAGCCCGACATACTGGCTTAAATAATGCTGCTCTAATCAAGACCTTCTGTACAGAGCTGGACAATTTTGAATATGCTGGCCTGTTGAAATTTCTCCTTTTGTGGTCTCAGTAGTTCTTGTGTGTCTGACATCTTTTCATCCTGCCACCTCTTTTTTGATTTGAGTATATGAGAGTCCATTGCTGCTGGCTAAAGCAGGGGCAGCCACTTCATTGTGAAAACTTGACAGAAATAAACATGTTGCCTTGAGGTGAGTGACTGGTGGGGGAAATGAGGATGGTCAGGGAGCTGTGGATGATGGAGAGGAATCCAGTCTCGCCCTAACTAATCTAGAAGGGGGAAAATTGAAAACTTCCGCAACATACCATACCTAGATAGCTATCTTGGCTGTAAAGAAGCTTTGGTTCGTCTATTCCTGGCTAGCTATTATTTCTTTTCTAAATAACAGATGTCCTTCCTAGTCGATGGTCAATAATGTTAATAGGCACGATTTATGGCTGAGCCGTGAACGAGGAAGACAACATTACGTCATCGCCGTTCCCGCCTGCCGATTGCTGCATTTGGATCCCAAGCCCTAATTCATTTCCATTACATTACATATTTGCCTGAGAACTCACGATCAGATCATCTATCGGCCATTAAATAGGAACGAACATACAGACATTTCCGAAGGATCTAAGAACGACAGAATACGTGAGATGCCCGCGTTGAATCATTGAACATTTTCCCGTGCTGTCAAACAGACATCACATCGCATCATAAAGCTATCCATCCGATCTCTTGGAGCATCGATCACTTAGCATGTCATTTGCCTCCCCATCCACCCCTCCACCTCCCCCCGTTCCAGACGGCTGGAAAACGCAGTTCGACGACCGGTATAAGGAATGGTACGTCTTATCTCTCATTGCAATTCTACAGGGCACAACGGAAAAGAAACCCCGCCTCCTTCCCGCAGAAGCAAAATAGTTCCTCTAACACCAAACTGCGAAAATCACAGGTTCTACATCAACCTAGAAACGGGAGTCTCACAGTGGGAACCGCCTCCACTCCCTGATACACTTCCACCCTCATATGACGAAGCAGCCACAGCAACGCCCATTGACCCTACCTCCGCTACCGCAGTCGCAGAAGCTGCAACGGACGTTGTGAAAAAGACGGCTACCGCCTCCCCCTCCGCCTCCACACCACTAGAACTGGGATCTAATAACCCGTATAATCCCGCGCGGCAGCGGAATTCTTCGGGACCGGAGACTCATACAAGTATAGATGACAAGATGATAGCTGAAGATGCGAAGTTAGCTACGAAATTGCAGGCGGAAGAGGATGAGCGAGCATGGCAGGGGCGGGACCAAGGCCAGCAGACGTATGCAGGCAGTCCCCAACCACAATCACAGACACTATCACCACCGTCACATGAAACAAAAAAATCCAGGTCCAGGAGCGGCAGTGGCTTTCTCGGGAAACTAATCAGCAAAGCCTCCTCCAAAGTCCACCATGGCACCAGCAGCGGTACCGGCAGTGGGTTTGCTTCCCCAGATCATCACCAGCAACCTTACCAACAACAGCAGCAGCAGCAGCAGCAGCAATACCAGCGCCCCTACTCTGCACCATATGGATATAGCGGATACCCAGCCGGAGGTGCTGGCTTGTACGGCCCGCAGCAACCATATATGTACGGCCAGCGACCAAGACAGCGTAGGGGGATGGGAGGCATAGGACCTGGCGGAGCTGCAGCGCTGGGCCTTGGGGGCGGCTTGTTGGGAGGTGCGATGTTGGCGAATGCGATTGGTGATCATCATGATTATCAAGAAGGGTACGCGGATGGGGTGGCGGCGGATGATTCTGGAGGGGGAGATTTCGGAGGGGGAGACTTCGGAGGAGGGGGAGACTTTGGGGGAGGGGATTTCTGACGAGCGGTTTAGGCGGTTTAGAGGGGTTCTGTTCTGTTTGGTTGGTCTTTTGATGTTTGGAGTCTTGGGGATTGGGGGTTCTTCACTTGGAAACCGATTGGCTTCTAGGTTCTTTGTATCATGTTACAGTCTATGTCCGAGTTGCATGGAGTATGATTGCTCATAGGTTTTGGCGCTTGGAGATTGCTTTGGTCATTTCCTCCATGGTAGGAAAACTTGGGATGTGCATGTTCGAAAAACCTGCTAATTACGCGCTTGAGGACCCATTATGAATTTTATCCACTTATATCTCTTGAGTTATGTATGTGCATAGACTGTACAGGTATCGAGTACAGAGAAACAGGTAGACCGCGTGCGTATACAGCGTAAGACGGCAATTATCTAGACAAGGGACCCGCCTCATCTCCCTCCTAATTAATCTTCACCGTCATCTTCTCATTCATCATATGTCATCATTCCCCCTTTCCCACCCCCTCTCACCCATGGAAATGAAAAAACCTACCCCTTGCCCCCTCATAGAGTCCCGACAATCAACATCTGCGCCCAGAAATACAACCCAAACCCAACAGCCGGCTTCAACCACCCCGGATTCCCCGCCTTGCGCCTCCCAAACGAATCCTTCGCCACAAAGATGTCAGACGCAACAAACATCGCGGCGCCCAGCAGGCGCTGGTGCGGCGGCGCAGCGCTAACCGCAGCAGCCGTCGATGCGGCAACAGCCAACATCCCACTGATGATAGCCGAATAGCCAAAGACGAGCGGGCGCATGTCGTCCGAGATGGAGAGGTTGAGCAGGTTGCCGCTCAGGAGATCTGCATTGTTGTTCTTGTTCTTTTTGGGCGGGTAGATGACGCCGAGGCACTTGGAGAGTACCATGGAGACGGCGAAGGTGCCGGTGAAGATTGGCCAGGAGATGGCGGTGCTGTTTTTCAAAAAGGCGAGGATGTAGGCGACGTGGGCGGCGGCGAAGGAGCCGACGCCGGCTTGAAAGGAGGTGGAGAGTTTCTTTGGCTCGTCGGCATCCTTTTCTTCCTCCGCCTCGTCCTTCTTTTTGTACGCGACCAGGGGCCCGATGTGCTTATCATAGTACTCCGTGCGGGTGGGGATGAGGCAGAAGTCACCGATGGCGGAGAAGACGAGACCCGCAGCGATGCGGAGGTGGTACGGGTTCAATTGTTGCCATTGCCAGGGCGAAGAAGAGGGTGCTAGGTAGTAGAGAGGTCCGCCGAGGAAGGCGGCGGAGGAGAGGAGTTTGAAGATGTAGCTGCCTGGGTAGAAGGAGTAGCGCTCCGAGAGGACGAGAAGGGGGAGGGAGACGTTGACGAGGCCGATGGTCTGGGGTGGGGGGAGGGAGAGGTTGGAGAGGAAGGGCAGGAGAAGGGTGGAGAGGGAGAGCATTGTTTTAGATGTTATTTATCAACTAGTTATTTATTTATTATTGGGCGTGAGTATTTAACTAAACTATTGGATTTTGGAAGTTGCATGGATGTAGTTATTTTATATTTTTTACTCAATTTCAAGCTGCGAGAAGGTTATTAAAGCTATCTCACCTCGGCTGCGGCATCCATTTTTGCACGGAGAAATAACTATCCCAATGGTTGGTAACTTGATAGGACGGGGGTAGGGTAGGGTAGGGCGGGATAAATATGTAGAACATCACGCCACAGTAAGTTA